CCGTGAGGCCCTGCGTGTCTCATCACTGGGGACCCAAACCTGACTGTCCAGTGGCCTCTGAAGGATGGCGGCCACTGGGCCGCCAGGGGGAACAGGCCAAGGCACGAAACCTATTCCCACCCGGGTTGGCCCAGCAGCGGTAACCTACTGCAAGGACCGGATGCATTTCTGCCTAAAGCCGCTGGGTTTTGAGATTTGTTTCTGAGTCTCTGGGATCATGGCTGTTAAGCAGTTTGATCAGGAACCAGAGAGGCCATGTCTCCAATTATACAGCTGAGCTGGAGGTGGTTTGTGGGTGTGTCTCCCACATACCTAACTTTTGGCTGTTTACTTTCTTGGTAAACTTTGCCCCAAGTTTTTGGGGTCTGGCCAAAGGCACAGCAGCAATTTTGGGGTATTTTGAAGGCACCACCAGGCTGCTGATGCACTCGCCCCACAGGAACAGATTGACCTGCTGGCGGCACCATACCCCCGACGATTGGGAGGTTTTAAGTACTAAATTGAAGGTTTTTTTTCTGTAGTGTGGCTTCTGGTTCTGTCCATTTCAAACCTTGTTCCCCTCCAAATCCAAACCACATACTTTTGCTGTTGGGTTTTGGAGAGCTCAGTCATTTCACATGGTCACTGGCCTTCTCTGAGGCTTGGGTGACACTTCTGGAATGTCTGACAATAAAACTATTGCCAAAGAGACCACAGGCCACATGAATGAATTCTGTCAGCTCTATAGTAACTGAATCCGCATCTCACCCTCTCCTTTGTGGAATCTGGTTCCATATTATAAAACACCACCGCTGGTGGTAAGTGGTAGCAGTTGTCCTGAAAAGTCTGCCATGTTGAGACTGGTGAAAGCATCTTACTTTCGTGCTTCATAAGAGTACTATCTTAAATTAAGAAGCTTCTGCACCTCAAAAGATACAATAACCAGAATACAAAGACAATCTACAGAATGGGATATTTACCCAATAACCATCTGATAAAGACTTGATATCAAGAATATACAAAGCACTGGTTGAACACTACAAGAAGAAAACATCTAACCCCATCAAAAAATGGGGTGATGAAATGAACAGGAACTTTCCCAAAGAAGAAATCCGAATGGCTAAAAGGCACATGAAAAAATGCTCTACATCACTAATCATCAGGAGATGCAGATCAAAACAACAGTGAGATATCATTTCACACCACAGAGACTGGCCCACATCCAAAAGAACAAAAGCAACCAATGTTGGCACGGATGTGGCGAGAAAGGGACCCTTCTTCACTGCTGGTGGGAATGCTGACTGGTTCAGCCCTTTTGGAAACAGTATGGACGATTCTCAAAAAATTAGAAATTGAGCTCCCATTTGACCCAGCAATACCACTCCTGGGAATATATCCTGGAGAGGCAAAAAAGTACAGTTGAAATGATATCTGCACTTCTGTGTTCATTGCTGCACTATTCACAATAGCCAAAATCTGGAAAAAACCGGAGTGCCTGAGAACAGATGACTGGTTAAAGATACTTTGGTACATCTACACAATGGAGTACTATGTAGCTTTTAGAAAAGATGAAGTCATGAAATTTACATACAAGTGGTACTACATAGAAAGTATCATGCTTAAGTGAAATGAGTCAGAAAGAGAGGGATAGACATAGAAAGATTGCATTCATCTGGGGAATATAAAGTAACAAATTGGGAGATTAACACCCAAGAAAAGCCAAGATAAGTACCAGGAGTTCACTCCATGGCTTGGAGGCCAGCTGCACATACTGGAAGAGAAGGCAGCTCAGATAGAGAAGGGAGCACCAAATAAAGAGTGTTGGGAGGATCCTCCCAGGATGAGAGATGCATGCTGAAAGTAGACTATAGACCAAGCATGATTGCCACTCAATGCCTCTTTTAAAAACCACAGCACACAAAAGAAGAGAGAGAACAAAAGGGAATGCCCTGCCACAGGGATGGTGTGGGATGGGGAGGATTTGGGGGTGGGAGGGATTCCGGGAGCATTGGAGGTGGGAATGGGCACTGGTGGAGGGATGGGTACTCAATCATTGTATAACTGAAACCCAAGCACAAAAATCTGTAAGTCTACAACTGTACCTCATGGTGTTTCACTAATAATAATATTAATAATAATAAGTACTTATCACATGGCAGGGGCTCTCCTGGGACTGGCTGCCTACTTGAGGGCCTGGGAGCCTTAGCCATGTTAGCTCTGACAATTACGCCTCTGCTTGGAAGAATGTTACTGCTCTGGAAAGATGGGCCAAATCAAACAAACTAGGCTGCGAATTAACAGCAACGTCAAGGAACCTACCTCCAAAATGGATAAAACCTTGCTTTGAAAAACAAAGCAGAACACGACTTTAAGGAAGCATCATGGCTGTAGGTACTGCAATGATAGGGGTTAAAATATGTTTTCATATTTGACAATCTTGACCGGAAGATGTCACCATTCCTAGCTATTTGTCACCACACACTTGGTGTTGATTGGAAACTTTTCCTGAGGTGGGGCAGAATTGCCTACTTGTCTTTTCCATGTAATTTAAGCATAGTAATATAAATAAAGTAATAGTTGAATTTAAAAAATGAGGTTCAAGTTCAACAGCAGTAGCTTGTGTCTGTGAAAGCTTTCAGGCAGATATAAACTTTCTATTAAATGATGTTATCAAAATAGAAAAAAAATCTAGACTGCTACAGTTGAGACTTGTTTAAGCTTTCAGTCAAGAAGTCGAATAAAATTTCACTCTCTCATATTTAATGCTTTATAAACCTGTTGTCCAAAAGTTTTGCTGAGAGTTTGTATCGTTTCCTTTTAATCTGGTTTTCTTTTTTCTTTTTTTGTAGTGCCAGGCATAGATCATGCAAGACATGAGTGCTACCACTGAGTCACATCCCTAGCCGTCTGAGAATTTATGAGTTGTAGGAGCTGTGTACAAAACTGGTGTGTGTATGTGTGTGTGTGTGTGTGTGTGTTATTCTCTCTTTTCAGGCTTAAGAAATAGTTATTAAATAATTACTTTCTTCTTTAATTTTTTCAATTAATTTTTTTATTGAGGCATTGTGATTTACAAAGTTATTTATGATTGAATTTTAAGCATACAATGTTCTAACACCAATTTCTTCACCAGTGTTCACGTCCATCAACCATTGTCACCAGTTTCCCTCCCACCCCCGACCCTGTTTCCATGACAGGCACTTTTATTTTTTCAGGCATTGTGATTTTTTGTTTCTGTTGCTAACCAGCACCACCTCCTGCTCCAGAGAGGTCACTTCCCTCCACCATTGTTACAGTGTTCCCCCACCATCCTAAACCACTAAGCTTCCTGTTGAAGACCAGTTCTCTAGTTCTCAGCTTCTGTCACCTTTATTAATTTATTATTTATTAATCCCCTTCTATGTCTCTTTATATTCCACATTATCTAAAAATGATATCTGAGTGACATTAATATAAAAATTATCAACACAATATGAAAGCACATCAATGTTTGGATTACAAACAAATATTCAACTTTGGAAACATATGGATAAAATGAACAATAAAGTAGTTTAAGAATTAGTATAATTTGCTGGAGCGATAGCACAGCGGGTAGGGCGTTTGCCTTGCACGCAGCCAACATGGCCGACCCAAGTTCGATTCCTCCGCCCCTCTCGGAGAGCCCGGCAAGCTACCGAGAGTATTCGATATGCCAGACACAGTAACAACAAAGTCTCCAGTGGAGACGTTACTGGGCCCGCTCGAGCAAATCGATGATCAACGGGAGGGCCTTTACTTTACTTTAAGGAAGAATTATTAAGACTAGCAGAACAGCATCTATAAATTCTGAAAAAACACATTATCTAAAAACTACTCTATAGAATAAAAATCACTTGGGTTAAATTTATTCACATTATTATAAGGAGACATTCTGTTTGTCAATAAAAGAACATGTAAAGAATAATCAGGTTATCTAAAATTAGGTTAATGTTAAAGAGGAGTTCTCAGAGGAAATAACAATTACCTGCTTTTTGTTAATTCTGCTTTGTATGTAGAATTTTATAGAAATGGTGATTATTATGAATTAAAAGGGATCAAGATTAAAGAGGATCAGGAGTTTAGTCATTTCTTTAAAGTATATATCCTATATTAACAAAGTTACATGGATTTAAAGTTTTTATTTAAATAGCTACAATCACTAAGATAGAGATTTTATTTGAAAACTATAGGGTGAATATTTAATAAAATTTCTTTGTTGCTTTGTTAGAGTTATGCATAGCAAAAAGTTAAGATTTTTACCCCACAAGGCTCCAGATAAATAATCCCAGGTAGAAAACTCTCCTGAATTTATCTTAGTCAGCTATGTAAGTATTTATTACTTTGTATGTATTCTTGAAGGCATAAATGCGAAAAAGCATTTTAATGAAGTCACCATAATTCCTACAATATTTTGAGCACTCTGGGATGTATACTCATCTGTAGAATTAAGATAATGACAACCCTTGCTCCACCTCTACTATTTGTAGCTTTGAAGATGCAGTTAATTGATGCCTCAAAAAAGCACTTAGAACAGATCTCATACTAAAGGGCAAAAACAATGAGACACATAAGGTGCTTTTTATATTTTTGCAATTTTATTAACTGAGATTTCCCTTCCTATGTCAACTATGTACAATGAAAACTATAGGTATATTTAATGATCTTTCAAAATGCTTACCAAGGAATCTGTTCGCTTTTGCTGAAGGCCAACTGAGTATCTCACTCATTTCATGTTTTCACCTGGTGTCTACTTAGCAGATAGGAATACCTGAAAAAAATTTGATTTATGACTGAAGGAAAGATAAAAGAAGGGAATTTACTTAACTGAAAATACTGGGTCATCGCTAGCCATGATAACACTGGCCCTGTACTCTGGATGCTGAATCTATTGCTACCCAATTCAGGACTCCAGCATTTGATCACTGTCTGGATAGTTGTGCTTCAATGGATGGGTAATACATATTAAGAGAATTCATATATTAAAGTCTGTTTGCTTCCTTCAGCGAAAGAAGTTTACCATCACAAGCAGCATCACTGGGAAAAAGCACACATTTGTCACTGATTCAGCCAAGACCTGCAAATATTTACTGGGTCTCTGCTCTGCTCAGCACCGATTTAATGCTCAGATGAGTTCTCAGGGAATTGCAGCTGGTGAGTAGACAGTATATTCTCCGCTTCCTATCTGGCATGCTTGTTATTTCATTAAAACCATAATTTATGTAATTAGACACAATTTACCTGGAAGCCTCCAAAACATCTTTAATCTTCCCAAACCGAAGAAATACAACATTTTAGATCCATAATAATGGGAAAATAATACAAAAACACAAAATTTTAAGCGGAAATACAACTTTCTCTCTTAACATTGGTAAACATTGGAATAAATAATATTGGGAGGGTTAGTTGCAAAATCTTTCTATATGTGTTGGAAAGACATATATTTAAAGCCTTAAATTTCAGGTTCTTTTGGCTATGTAATTTGAGTAGTATATAGATGTTTATCCTAAGAATAATAAATATAGAAGTACACAATATTTTATGCTCACGGGTGATCCCTGGAACATTACTTATAACAGTGAACATTTGGAAGGAAACAAAAATATCCAAAAGCAGAAGACTATTTAAAGAAATCATAGCACATCTATTTAATTTAGATGCTAAGTTCAGTTTTTTGGGGAGAGTGATGCCATTTGAAAGTGACATGATATGGTGCTAAGTGAAGAAAATCAAGATATGAAACTGTATCTCGTACTGTCTGATAGAACTTAGCATGATGACAGAAATATCTACACCATTCTATATGCAAGTTACAGCCAACATGCATCTACAGAGCACTTGAAAAGTGGCAAGTACAAATGAAGAACTACATTTTAAAATTCTATTCAAATTTAATTAAAATATATTTAAATGTAAGTGGCCATGTATGCTTACAGCATGGTTTGGGGCACCCTGATACTAGCATGGCTTATTTCAACATGTTAGAAAACACAGAGAGATAAAGAAAATGAACTTCTCCAAAGTTTTATTTATTGACTTTGCAGGTATGATTGTTTTTCTTCGGTGTACTTTTCAGTATATATCAAACTTTCAACAATCAAGTTGCATAATCAATACGAGTAGAAACAAAAAGATTAGTTAAAATGTGACCACACTTCACATAAGCCTAGTTAATGTTTACTGAATATTTAGGAAATGCTAGGAAACTATTTAGTGCTTTTCCCAGGCATTGTGCTAAGTCATTAAATGAATGATCTCTTTCCTACTTACAACGTATTATCTTCTTTAAGTGCAGTTGTCAGGAAGTCCAGAGGGAAGTAACTAGCATTACGGGGAGAAGAAACAGAAGCTTGGAGAATTTAAGTAATATGTCAGATGGTTGGTGGTGGGAGAGAATTTGAATCAGTGACTCTCCTAGTCTAGTTCCTATGCACTTCACTCCCCAAATATGGCCCTTTAAAGACCTGGTTAGCATGAAATTTGAGCCAGAAGGATTTGACTTTGAGTGCTGAATTTATCACATTTACTTCTGCTCCCTGGCTCCATATTCAGTGTTGATTGCTCAATAGAAGTAGTAGTGGCAACTCCTGCTCTTGGAGATTTTGTATGGGGCCAGAATATTCATGTGGATATTGTGTCACTGGGCCCTGAGGTCACAGGATAGGGGATTAACTGGAAAATAAAATTGCTGAGAATTTTTATGCAGAACTAAATAGAAAATAAAGGTGGATATTATTTGCAGCAAAATAAAAATAATAAATATTTAATATAAATGTCAGAGTGACATTATTAGGATATTTTCAGGGAACTGGAGATAATGAATGTAAATTAATTATATCCTATTTGCTATTGCTGAGATGCAGTGTAAAAAACATCACCGACATTGCTTTTATTGCTTTTATTGCCTGATATCAGTGAACATAAAATATTTATAAAAACTCCTTGGACTCACTTGTGAAATTGTTACTACTAAACCTCATTTGCCCATAATACACTTTTCCCAAACTGCAAATTCTCCCATTATATGAGTTTTAGGAAACCTACTATTTACATGAAAAATATTTTAGACAAATTTTGACACAGGTTGATGCTATTTTATTTTTTCTGGATTTATTGACATATATGAAGCATATATGAGTTTAAGATATAAAATATGCTGATTTGATACATGTTTATGTTGGAAAATGATGACACAGTAAGATAGTTAACAGCTCCACCTTCACAGAATTTCTATTTTCTATGTGTACTGATAGCATTTAAAATCTATTTTTTAAACTTTTAAGTATGTAATAATACAGTATTGTTAAACACAGACAAAATGCTGAAACTAGTTAATCCCAGAATTTATTTATCTGATGACTGGGAGTTTGAACCTTATGGTCAACATTTCCCCATTTCTACCATCCCAGTCTCTGGCAACTGCCATTCTGTTCTTCATTTCTGTGAATTCAGGTTTCCACATCTCACTTATTATAACTCCCTCAAGGTCCATGTATGTTTTTGCAAATGGCAGATACTTTTCTGTTTTAGGATAGAATAATATTCTATTGTATACATAGTCCTGGGCTGGAGCCATAGCACAGCAGGTAGGGCATTTGCCTTGCACTCGGCCAACCCAGGTTTGATTCCTCCGTCCCTCTCATAGAGCCCAGCAAGCTACCAAGAGTACCCCGCCCACATGGCAGAGCCTGCCAAGCTATCCATGAAGTATTCAATATGCCAAAAACAGTAACAAGTCTCTTTTCTTGTGGTATCTTTGTTTCCTTTTGGTATTAGAGAGATATGGGCTTCATAGAAACTGTTTGGGAGAGTTTCTGTTTCTTCAATTTCCTGGAAAAGCTTGAGAAGAACTGGCAATAGGTCCTCTTTAAATGTTTGGAAAAATTCACTAGTGAATCCATCTGGACCTGGGCTTTTGTTTTTGGGAAGACTTCTGATTACAGTTTCAATTTCCTTGATGTTAATAGGTCTATTCAGGTCCCTGGATCTTCTTGATTCAGCCTTAGGAGATTATAGGAATTCAGGAATTTATCCTTTTCTTCTAGGTTCTCTTGTATCGTGGCATACAGACTTTCAAAGTAGTCTCTGATGATCCTTTGAATTTCTTTGGTTTCTATTGCTATATCCCCCTTCTCATTTCTGATTTGGTTTATCAGGGTTCTCTCTCTTTCTTTGTGAGTCTTGCTAGTGGTTTATCTATCTTGTTTATTTTCTCGAAGAACCAGCTCTTGGTTTCATTAATCTTTCAGATTAATTTTTTGGTTTCCATGTCGTTGATTTCTGCTGTAAGTTTATGATCTCTTTTCTTCTGCCTGATTTGGGCTCCTTTTGTTGATCCTTTTCTAAGATCTTGAGATGTGAAGTCAAGTTGTTTGTGTGGGTCCTTTCTTCCTTCCTGATAAATGCTTGCAGAGCTATAAATTTTCCCCTGAACACAGCTTTAGCTGCATCTCATAGGTTCTGGTAGCTCGTGTCTTCATTCTCATTTGTTTCCAGGTATCTTTGATTTCGTCCTTAACTTCCTTCCTGACCCACTCGTTGTTAAACATTGAGTTGTTTAATTTCCAGTGTTTGATTTGGTTTCCGTGTCTGTGTATCTGTGTGTGATTCACTTCTATCTTCAATGCATCATGGTCTGAAAAGATTGTTGATACTATTTTTATCTTCCTGATTCTATTGAGGTATTTTTTAAAATACATTTTTAATGTATTTGTTGAATCACGGTGAGAACAGTAACAAAGCCTTTCAGTTCAAGTCTCAGTCGGTCATACAATGATCAAACACCAGTCCCTTCACCAGTGAACATTTTCCGCCACCAAGAACCCCAGTATACCCCCCTTCCCACCCACCTCCCACCTGTGTGACAGATTTCTACTTTACTCTCTCTCTCTCTCTTTCTTTCTCTCTCTCTCTAGGTTGATTACATTCAATATTATGACAAAAGACCCACCACTGTTATTTGGAATTTTTCCCAACATTTAGACCTGCCACAAAAATATCATTAGAAAATTTGTTTTCTGATGTTGATTATGAAGAGCACGTGATGTTGTGTGGCCACAATATATATTCCAAATATTAGAATTTGGAATTCTAATATTTTAGTAAAAAACCTAGAGGGATTACTGCCAGAATCCCCTGGGTTCCGAGATTAGTATGTGTGCCTCTGGAATCCACGGTCAGTCAGAAGCTGGAGGAGGCATTTGAGGGTGGCAACCCGGAGCATTGTCATGGCGAAGAGCAGGGCCGATTCCACCCCCCATCCCATGAAGCCCCATATGGCTCATCAATGCAGTCACATACCTGGCTGTTCATTAGGCTCTAAAAAATGCAGGACACCATGTCACCGCCGCACAGCGGGACAGGTGGAGGGACAGACATCCTTCCCCTCCCAGGGTGGCATAGCACCATAGTTAAATACACAGTCCAGATGCATTTCAGTTGGGCATTATCTTTTGCTCAGATTTTCCTACCACCATTCAAGCCTGATTTTCAGGGAGAAATGTTGGATGATTTACTTTCCATTGATCATGTTGCATATAAGGAAATGTCGCGCAACCGCTTATGCAGTCGCACAGTTCAGAAAAAATGTCCTGGTACCCGCATGCCAGAGCCATGCTTGTAGAAGCTCATGGTCACCGGGATTCCATCTGAAGAAAGCGGGGAGACAGCACCTACCCCATCTGGGACCTCCCAGTGATATCGGCTCTGTTTGGGGCCCGGAGAATTCTCCGGGAGCTGTGGGGCCCTCCAGCCGGTTTTCTTCTTTTTTGCTGTGTGTTGTAAGATGACCCTATTGAGGTATGTTTTGTGGCCTAGCACATGGTCTGTTTTGGAAAATGTTCCATGTGCACTGGAGAAGAATGTGTATTCTTTTTTGGGGGGTATAGAGCCCTGTATAGGTCTATAAGCCCTCTCTCTTCTAATTCTTCCTTCAGAGCCAATGTTTTCTTGCTGAGTTTTGTTCTTGTTGATCTATCCAGAGGTGATAAGGCGATGTTGAAGTCTCCAGCTACTATTGTGTTGCTAGCAATGTCCTTCTTAAAATCTGTTAGCAGTTGTTTTAGATATTTAGCTGTTCACTCATTAGGTGCATATACATTTAAGAGTGTGATTTCTTCCTGTTGTACGTATCCCTTGATGAATAGAAAATGGCCTTCGCTGTCCCTTCTAATCTTTTTCAACCTGAAATTTATGTTGTTGGATACTAGTATGGCCACCCCAGCTTTTTTGAGGGAGCTGTTTGCTTGCAGGATTGTTTTTTATCCTTTAACTTTGAGTCTGTATTTGCTCTGACTGTTGATGAGTTTCTTGTAGGCAGCAGAATGTTGGGTTCTGTCTCTGAATCCATTTTGCCACTCTGTGTCTCTTAATTGGTGAATTTAGACCGTTGACATGGAGAGAGATTATTGTTATGGGGTTTTGTGTCATCTTTCTGTAAAGGTGTGTTGTGCTTGCAGGGTTTCTCTTGTCTTATAGTAGGCCCTTTAGCCCTTCTTTTAGGTTTGGTTTTGAGTCTATGAAGTTTCTGAGCTGCTGTTTATCCAGATAATAGTGTATCGTTCCTTCGAGTTTGAGTGAGAGTTTAGCCGGATAGAGAATTCTTCGTGAAGCATTCATTTCAGTGAGTTTTTTCACTATATCCCACCATTGCCTTCGGTTTTAGAGGGTTTCCTCTGATAGGTCTGCTGTGAATCTAAAGGGTGCTCCTTTGTATGTGATTTCTTTCTTTGACCTTGCTGCTTGCAGTATAGTCTCTATCCGTGGCATCCATCATTCTAACTATGATATGTCTTGGAGTGTTTTTGTTAGGGTCTCTTAGTTGGCACCCTTTTGGCTCCTTGAATCTGAATAGCTGTATTGTCCAGCTCTGGGAATTTTTTAGCAATGATTTGTTTAGCCATGGCTTTCTCACTGGGATTGTTTCCCTGAGATTCTGGTACTCCAATGATTCTAATGTTGTTCCTCTTGGAATCATCTCCTAGGACTCTGATTCGCTCTAGAGCTATTGCGGTCTCTTGTCATTGTTGTTTCCTGTTGGCTTGGTGCAGCTGATCTTCCAGCTCACTGATTCTGTTTTTAGCTGTGGTCATTCTACTGTTGAGGGCACAGACTAAGTATTTTTAAAAAATTTTTAGTTGTAGACTTACAAATTTTTGTGCTTGGGTTTCAGTTATACAATGTTCGAGACTAAGTTTTTTATTTCATCTACAGAATCTTTTATTTGTGACATTTCTGTCCATAGCTTTCCAATTTCTGCTCTCATTTCTTCCCATAATTTCTCTATTGTTTCTTTCATGTCCTCCTTTAATTTACTGGACATCTCTCTCTCACTGTTTCTTTGAGTTCATTGAACATCTTCATTACTTCATATCTGAATTCTTTCTTAGAGAAGCCCCTTAGGTGAGTAGCGCCTACTGAGGCTTCTGGACTCTTTTCATCATCCTCCCCACATGGCTGGGATTTGCATTGTTTCTTCATGTTGGTTTGGAGGTATGGGGACGAAGATGTTACACGAGATTTCTGGGTATGGGTAAACTACCTGTGGCCGTGTAAGCGTTGGCTGGCTCAATATTAGGCCACGCCCATTTCTACAGAATCCACGTCCACTTCTGAAGAGGCCACGCCCCCACGGGTACCTGGTGTGTGTGTCGGGGTAGGGGACCAACAGAAAGAGGCTCAGGGATCCTGAGCGTCCCAGGGTCCTAGAGGATGCCTGGGGCGCATGTGCAGAGAAAGCCAAGTCCCGGGTTTGAATACTGACAGATCATAACAAGTCTCACAATGAAGAAGTTACTGGTGCCCACTTGAGCAAATACATGAACAATGGGAGGACAGTGTTACAGTGCAGTGTTACACATAGCCATGCATCACTTAATGCTTTGGTTAGTGTTGGACTGTATATAAGACAGTGATCCTAATAGGGTATACAATATAGCTAAGGCATGTGATAGATAATCTAGGTTTGTGCATTTATACTCTATGATGTTCATGTAATGACAAAATCACCCAACAGTGCATTTCTCCAGAACATTTATCCCTGTTGTCAATTGATGCAAGACAGTATGCACATATTTTAAAAAATGTTATCTGACAATGGACCCTGAAATTTCCATGTCTTGGATATTGTGAGTAATTATAATCCACATTGAGGGCAGATGTCTTTTTGAGGTTGTACTTTTAAATTTTTCTTTGGGTAGTTATATATCCAGAAGTAGAATTATTGAATCATATAGTATTTCTATTTTTAGCTTTCTGAGAGCCCCCCCTTATTGCTTTCCACGGCCATTTTACTAATTTACATTTGAATCCACAGTGCACAAAGGTTGCTTTTCCTCCATATTTTCACCAGTACTTGTTATTTCTTACCTCTTTTTTTTTTTTTTTTGGTTTTTGGGCGACACCTGGCAATGCACAGGGATTACTCCTGGCTCTGCACTCAGGAACTACCCCTGGAGGTGCCCAGGGGACCATATGGGATGCTGGGAATCTAACCCAGATTGGCCTCATGCAGGGCAAATGCTGTGCCTGCTGTGCTATTGCTCCATCCCCTATTTCTTACCTCTTGATAATAGGCATGACGTGATATCACATGATATTCTTGATTGGCATTTCTTTTTTTTTCCCTTTTTTGGGTCACACCTGGCAATGCACAAGGGTTACTCCTGGCTCATGCACTCAGGAATTACTCCTGGCGGTGCTCAGGGGCCCATATGGGATGCTGGGAATTGAATCGGGTCATCCGCATGTGAGGCAAATGCCCTACTCGCTGTGCCATCGCTCCAGCTCCTTGTTTGGCATTTTCCTGGTGAATTATGTTGCTAAGAACCTTTTCATGTACCTGTTTTGTTTATCTTGGTTAGGAAACTTAGACATTTTTATTTTCCTATAGAATTTTCTTTGTATCAGAAACTGTGTCTGGAGATATGCCAAACACAGTAACAACAAGTCTCATGATGGAGACGTTACTGGGCCCGCTCGAACAAATCGATGAATAACGGGAGGACCATGACCGTGACCGTGACATCTAATTGAGAAATGGCTATCATCACCCCATACAGATCTCAAACTCATCGTGTCTATAATTGAGCTCATCTTCACTACTCCCTCTACCATGATCATCATGCTGAAACTAGATCACCCACCTTCACTCTTAAGGATATGGAGAGGATTTAGAACTACACTTTCTCTTTCCACCCAAGCTGCCATCAGGTGCTCTTGAACAGTTCTTTACTATGTTCTCTCTAATTCATCCTGTTAAGTAACTTTTCAAAAGGATAAATTTAATTACATTTTTCTATTCTTTTCAGAATATTCTTTTCAGAGCACTGTCAGTGCTCTCTGCTGTCTTCAGAGACAAGCTAGTATTTTAAAGGATGGCATATCAGAATATTTTCATTCTGACCCAGCCCTCACTTATTTTCGACCTTGATTTTTTCACTCTATTCTCCAGTTATACTGCATGCCAGTTTTCAGGTTGCTGAACCTGTGAGGAATCTTAGGAACTCTTGCCCCTGTCTACAATACTTTCCCTTTTCCAGCCTCAGGGAATCAAAATGAACTCAATGACCCAAGGAAAAGCTACAGAGACCTCTTTTCCAAAGAATCTCCTATCATACATAAAGTTGACCACCTCTTCTTTTATGAAGGTTCTGTCTTCTCCCTATCATTATTGTTTGTAGAAAAAACTGCCACCTGGTTGGCAGTTGACTGGGAGCTCCTTGCCATCAGGGAGGGCTTTAAATTCTTCAGCACAAAGAAGACATATGTAAGTGGGAGGTTGTTCATGTTTATTTAACAAACGGCTAGATGATTAGTGTGGAAATATAATCATGCACTAATCATTTCTCTATTTTATTATATTTTAAATTATTTTTGATTATTTATATTTTTAATTATTGTCAGTAGTGTTGCGACAAACATTATTGCCAGAACTTCAGTATCTTGTATTGCTTCATTTAAAAAATTAAATTTAATACTTAGCGTTATATTACTTTAAGTTAATCCTGGGAGTGTAATTATTCTGAAGACTAGAATATTTCTTTTCTTCCTTTGGTTTGTTGTTGTGATGATGGGGTATCACACACATGTCCTCAGTTGTGATACTCAAAGACTTGGTTGCATATGCACTCACTTTTTTGTTGTGGTGGTTTCTTACCAGAGATAACATGCTTTGGCATGGTATGAGACATCATAAAGAGAGTGTCACTGGGATCATAGACGGTGCATAGGGCAGTGCTGGGGCTCAAACTCTTGGCCTCACTCCACCAGGGAGCCATCCAGAGTCCCCTGCCAAGGCAGGACTCTTTTGTAAGGCGCTTGTTGTATTCCTGAGTGCCATTCCTATGCCCAGCATGGTCCCTCCTGTTCTGTTATTTCTTTGCCAGGATAGATATTATGTTTGTATTTGTTCATTTGTAAGTAAAGCGGATTTTTCACCGTTGTTTCATTTGGCATTTTTTTCGATTGTTGGGAAGCTGAACATTCTCCAAATATATCTTAGTCATTCTTCTGTGAACTGCTCTGATAAGCATATTACTTTATATAAAGGCACATTTGGTTTCCTGGGGACAGAGAAAAATCACTAAGCTTTGATAAGTCCATAATTTCATGAATAAATCAGACATGATTTGTTAGTATTATGGAGTGGGACCCATTGTTTGTTTGTTTTTTTCAGCCCTTTCACTGGGGAGCTGGGTGGCAGGGATGCTCACCAGAGCTTTTATCTGTAATACTGCAGATGTGTAGAGGGATGTCAGCATCTCACCCTGGATTCATCCCATTTATGGCCCTTTGCTCTGGGTGGGTTCTGTACCTTTGAACAACTGTGTCTAGGGGCCGGGGAGGTAGTTCAGGGGCCAGGGACACAGGCCCTGCATGTGTCAGGGTCTGAGTTTGGTTCTTAGCACTCCCTGCCCTTTTCCCACACCAACACTGTTGGGTGTATCCATGGAGAGGCCCCCCATGCATTTCTGGCTTGGTCCCCAGTGCCACTGTGCCCAAGCAGTGCCAAATCACGGGACCAAGCATTGAAGCATCTGGTCTGTTTGGCTAGATATCATTGTGTGCACAACCTGTGCACAGTTTGAGATGCGCTATCCATGTGCCACCCCTTACCATCACTCCCCAAGAGAAAAAAGAAAATCTTTGACTAACATAGACTTCAGCCCTTATGGTCCAGACTGCCGCAAACATTGCCTACTACTTCTCTGTTGCCAACTTTGTTATGCGTCGCCACAGCAGGTGGACAGAAACCACCCACTTACCTCACTAAGTCTGTGGCTTCAGATATTTCTGCCTCCTTTCCTTCTATTCCTGAAAATGTAACCACTCTATACTCTACTGCCCACTGATCAATCCTTCCTGCTCTGTTTGCACATCCCACTGAACTGCTCTAAGCAGAGGCCTGGGAGTAAGAACAGAAGTCCCGCCCACCCCAGAAGGGCCCAGTACTTCATACTGAGGAATACCAGATGCCAATGCTTAACTCATTTTCTTGTCCACCTGACCTCAGCATGTGGCCCTTATCCTGTTAATGGGGCTTCCTCCTCAGTTCCCAGATGTTCTCTGCCTTGCTGAGACAGAGTCCTTCATAGAACTCATGGAGGCTCTCTCTTCTGTCTACCATCTGGGACTTCCTTTTCAGGGAAAGCCCCTTTTCCCTGGTTTACAACTTCCCCTCAAAGGCTTCCTGTTATCCTGCTAAAACTCTTTGATATGCTCTGCCACTGTCTGATATATTCTACCACTATCATTTCTCCCTAGGATATCCCCCATGATATTACTGCCCACGACTAATAATATGTCACCGATCAATGGTACCTTTGACTCCTGGAGATCGGAAGTCTGGGAATGCCTCAGATAAAACTTCCATGCTGTTTTTGGCTTTGAATTCTTTCACTTGCATTTTCTAGTGTGAACTATAAACCTTCTGACTTTTGTATAACTTCTGCTATACCACATGCTAGCCCTGGAACTTTGAACAAATGATTAACTATTTTTACTTCAATGTTTTTCATCTATAGCATGGTAGCACTATCCTCCCATTGTTCATCAATTTTCTTGAGTGGCCACCAGCAACGTCTCCATTGTGAGATTTGTTTTACTGTTTTTGGCATATGGAATACGTCATCAGTAGCTTGCCAGGCTTTGCCGTGCAGGCAGGATACTCTCGGTATCTGCTGGGCTCTCTGAGAGGGACAGAAAAATCGAACCTGGGTCATCCATGTACAAGGCAAATGCCCAACCCGTTGGATTATTGTGAGGGTGAAATGGGACAGTGAAGACATTACTTCTGTGAACTGCATGCAAGCATTCAGTCAATCTGAGGTGTTGGTATTGATGTTACTGCTATTGTTATGTGTTAGAACAGGTTCAAGCTTTGGAATAAGAAATGCTTCAACTTGTAAAGACACAGCAGGTCATTTTAAGTTGCCTGTGGTATTTTAAAATGTCCATGTAGATAAGTGATGGTATACAGAAAGTCCCCAACGAGTAAACCTTACCACACCACACCACACCACACCACACCACACCACACCACACCACACCACACTATACCACATGGAGAACTATGAAAGTACTGTGGGGCAAGCATTTTTTCCCCTCTTGGTTCTAGCAGAGAGCAGATGGTCTGAATAGAGTCATAATTTCTTTGCATTTTTTTTACAAAAAAACAAATTGGAGTTTGCACAAAGTCTTCTAATTTAATGGACTTATCTACTAAATCCCAATTTCCTGTGAATGTCGTAATGAGGTCATGCAAATCTCTCACCTCCATGGTCTCAAGTTAGGCTCTTCATCACTCATTGATTGCTTCTTTCTATGTGAAGGGAGAAAGGGGAGTCAAAACATTTGATATGTATTTATATTTTAGAAACTAGGATCCTAACTTAAATATACTGTCACTAAGGAAAATTTAAATTTGTGAAGATTAAAGATGCTCATAAATGGACTTTTACTAATTTATATTCTGATAATTCTATTTGTCACTCTTTTAAGTTGTATAGGACCAAGTGATATAAAATAAATTTGTTATATGCCTACCAAGGAAGTTGGAGAGAACCTGGAGATATTGGTGGAGGGAAGAGGACAGTGGTGTTGGAATATTGTATGCCTGAAGTTAGAATGAGAAAATAAAAAAAATAATAAAATTGAGTCGCTGCTACAAAAAGAAAAAATAGATTAAAGATGCCACACAGGATAGAGCTTACTTTGGGAGCCTAGGTAATTTGAAGACCCCTTGTTATAGTGTTTGCAAGGACAGTTTTTAAAGGCATGAACAGAATGGATGGTGGCAGTTAATTTTAGCCAAAGATTGCTGTGACATTCCTGTGAATACTCTTGGTTTAACACCCATCAGAACCTTGGCTTGAGAAGGGAAAGCATTTTGTCTTTTCTGTCTTCTGTTTCTGAAATTCCTCTCATTAGCTGATGCTAATTAGGAAGACTTGTATTTGCAGGGCTGATCACAAGAACTCCACGAGTTAGCATGAGGGAAAATAGTAGCAAAAGAGATGCGAGAACAGAAACTGGGTCTATTCTGCTTACTGTCACAAAAGTAATGGAGCCAGTGTCACTCTTGTTTGTGTTTATGTTAATCTTTCCTAATTTTCAGACTGCTATAAGTGTGTGCAAATGGTCAATTCGAGTCTTGCACAACTGACTGCATCCAAGCCTCTCACTTGGATTCAGAAATTATCATGTACAGGAAGCACACTGTTCAAATCCAGGCTGGAGGACAATGCAGGAAGTCTGTCATGCAAGTTATTGGACACAAGCAATGTGGAAACGACCAAGGACATGAGGACAGAAGGAATGGAAGGCAGGTGAGTTTGAAAATCTTTTCTATGGGTACAAAATACTATGGACTTGCATACTCTGGAGTGATCCGTACCGTAAGAAATTGGTTCAAAGGGTGTCAGATATCTCAGGGCAGGATACGTTCATTGAGTTATCAGCAGACTGATAACTTACAGAGACTTACCAAAGGCCAGCTATGAGCAAAGTCTGTGAAAAATGCTATTCCCCCAATTGCATTGATTTTCTGTTTTGATGGAGAAAGAATTAGGTGAAATTATAAAATAAAGAAGGGAAAAATAAGCTGTAATAGTAACCTATAGTGACCTATTTAGTCTTATCATGTAACAGTTATTAATCCAACTGCTTGTATATATCACATAATTTATTTCTCATACTGTTGTAAAGTAGTTTACATTATATTTCCCATTCTACAGTGGGAAAAAATGGAGTGTTTGGGAGTCAAATATGCATAGCTCATCCTGAAGTCTGTTCTTTCAGCCTCTTTGCTGTGTAATTCTTATTTTTTATTTGTTTTCTTTTGGGGGGGACTCACGCAAGTGTTCTCACACTAAATCCTGGCTCTTACCTCAAGGATCAATCCTAGCGGTGCTTGGGGAAATCATATATGGTGCTAGAGATTGAACTGGGATTGGTTGCATGTAAGGCAAAATTGGTTACCCATTGTACCATATCTATGACCCTGTGTTCTTTTTACAATGAAAATAATGGGCTTCTAAATACAGAGTTGGATTATAACACAATGGTACATACATTTAAAATTAGCCTAGATATTTGATCACAGTTATATTGCATGCTTTATAAATTGCACATAGATTCAGAGGAGTACATGATCAAAGAAGATTATTGCACGAGTAATTTTGGGGGATGAGTAATATATCTGCTTCAGAAATAGAATATGGATGATTCACTATGTATTTATATATATTTTCAAGTAATTATGTGAAAATCATCCCCCAAATTATGTTGATGCAAATATATTGCCATGTATGGCAAACTAATTCAATAAGGATGGTACAAAATTATAGGTGTATTTGTAATTGCTGGAAAACAAATCATTCTAAAATAAGAAAATAAGATATATTAAAATAACTATCACTGGGGAGCAATAGCACAGCGGGTAGGGCGTTTGCCTTGCAGGCAGCCGACCCAGGTTCATTTCTTCCATCCCTCTTGGAGAGCCCGACAAGCTGAGAGTATCCCGCCCACATGGCAGAGCCTGGTAAACTCCCCGTGGTGTATTGATATGCCCCAAACAGTAACAAATCTCACAAAGGAGAGTTACTGGTGCCCACTGGAGCAAATCGATGAACAATGGGAGGACAGTACTACATCATTATCTTTGGAGAGAGGTGCAGTTAGGATAGAGAAGGGATCATTCTAGATAAGAACTGAGTACTGAAAGTATGTAAAGGGATATACATAGTAACTTTTCAGTGCATTGCAGACCATAATGTCCAAAAGGGGAGTGGGAGAGAGAGGGGGGGGGGAGAGAGGGAGAGAGAGAGAGAAAAGAGAGAAGTGCCTGCCATAGAGGCAGGGTCGGAGTGGGTGGTGGAGGGTGGGAAATGCACACTAATGAAGGGGTGGTGAAGGGAGGGGTGATGGAACAATGTATGACAGAAACCCAATCACGAAAGCTTTGTAACTGTATCTCGTGGTGAGAGCCCGGCAAGCTACCTAGAGTATTTGATATGCCAAACACAGTAACAACAAAGTCTCCAATGGAGACGTTACTGGGCCCGCTCGAGCAAAAAATTAATCAATGAAAGAAAAACATCAGAAACAAACAATAACAACCATTTAAAAAATATTATGTCTGGGTTAGAAATTGAGGCAGGAATTAAGTATCTTCTCTTTTTCTCTTTTTTTCCTTTTGTATGGATATTAATTGAGTCGCATGACAGCACTCAGGAGGTTTGGAGGCAACAAGATGGCTTCCCTCACATATGTGGGTCGTTTGTGGGAATCGCTGGGATGTGAGCTCAATCCAGCTTGTGACCTTTAAACTCCTTATACGGTGGTGCTTTCTGCAAGTGATGCGTCCAATAAGGGAGTCAGACTTCGACCTGGAAGATTGGGGGCTCCAGAGCCCAAGATGAGCCCATCTTCCTAAGGCCTCGGCCAGGAGCTGCTCAGAGTGTTTTTCTGCGATAGTAGTTACAGACTGGCACAGATTCAAGGATAGCAAAACAAGACTCCTTCTTTTTGATATAGGATTGTCATAGCATTCATTACCATCGTTAATATGTCTGTCCAGTGAATAAGTGCCTCATAGACTAGGTGCCTATTTAACTCATTGTTATCCTAGGACTCACTAAATTCTTTATTTATTAATATACAGGCTCCTCAAAGGCCAGTTGCTGCCTTTGCTCTCAACTTGGTATGACTTTGGTATGATATGGATTAGTAGCCAGCCTAAATGGCTGCAAGATCAGGTTTCTATGTTTCTCTGTGCAGTCTTCAGGGGGTATCAGAGGTATGGCTACTGCAGCACTCTCGGTTCAGCTAAAATCAAAGGCAAACAACAAAGCCAGGAGCCACTAAAAGCACTGGTGTCTTATACTTGCTATCTCTTGTTAGTAATATCACCACCAGGAGTTAAGGAAATGTAGCAGTGGAAGTGCTGCATACCTCACTCAAAGGAGGGGGTGGGGAGAGAGAAAAAGAGAGAGAGAGAGAGAGAGAGAGAGAGAGAGAGAGAGAGAGAGAGAGAAAGAGAGAGAGTCTCCCGGAAGGCAGAAAGATGCAGAGTTCTCAGTGCAAATAACCTGGTATTATTATCTCCCAGATATACCTCCTTGAAGTCAGTGTATGGATAGAGGAGGAGGTTGGCATTCCGAAACCCTTGTCATTCTCAGAAATGCCCAGGAGCCCCCTTTAAGACCTCTCATCTCATCTCATCTCATCTCATCTCGTTGCCTCTCCCTACAGCACCTGCACTGGACAGCAGCAGCCGCAGAGCATCTGTTTGATCCAGAAACCAACACCTATCAACCCTGATTCTGGACCATCTGTTCAGAGCACATGCACAGATGTATGCCAGGCCATGGACCAGGTTTTGGCTGAAGGAAATCTTTCTCATGACACCAGCTCTCCATCTTTGGGTACCACTTTATTTTGCCTCCTGTTTACAATATTTTTGTGAGAATATTCAGAATATTTTCACATTTGTTAAAAATATACACAATATTTGGGGGTTTAAATTATTTTCAAAATAATAGTCTTTCCACTGGTTGGAAAGAGCTTGTGGTCTGCCTTTGGCTAGGCCTGGCATGTGGACCTGAAGTGTGTCGGTGCTGATGGGTAATGCCCCAGCACATTGGTGCATCATACTTTCTAGAAACAGCTCTTCACTCAATCCAGCAACACACCCTCCCACATTTACCAGAAAACATAGACTGAATGGACAGCTTTGCCCTCCTTCCTATATCCTTCAGGCAAGTCCCCCAAAGAGACTTCAAGACTAGAGAGCATGATTCTGGGAAGTACATCTGGAATAGAATGGGGGTAGGTCTTTACTGTGAACAGGTTGACTGCCAGACCCAACTTTGGGGCCTCAGAGAGAAGAAGGGTATGGAAAGTACTAGGCAACAGACCACCATTTGGGAATTCCCCCCCTATTCGAGGACTTCTGATTAGTAGGAGGGTAGGAGAGGACTCCATCGACTCAGGCTGATGGAACTTGCATGGAGTCTGAGCTGAGTTGCCTCCGATGATTGGCTTTGCTGTCTCATCTCTGTGCCCTAATTTTTCAGTTTTAGCTTTGACTTCCAGCAAGTAAATCTCTGCTCACACTTATCCCATGACGAGTGCAGAGAAAAAAAGTTATTGTGAGTTTTTGAGAAAACAAGACTGATGGCTCAGCTGCCCTGATCCCTGCTCCCTTCATTCAAACTCGACCAACACTAATCGAGTCAGGCTCATCAAAAGCATGTTCACTTATCTGTTCCTTGCGGTGTGTGTGTGCATGAATGTGTGTGTGTATATGTGTGTGTGTGTGTGTGTGTGAGTTTGTACATGGGTGAGAGAGAGGGAGGGACTGTTTAATCATTTCTCCTTTTGTATTAGGTCTCAGATAACTTTGGGGAACAACAACATGGACTTTGATTCCACCTCTAGGGTCCCAAAGTGAAAGAAGAAAGAGCTTTTCAGCTGTGCCTGATGCAGACATCGTGCATGTGACTCTGAGTCGGGACCCGTGTCACGGTTTTGGTAAGAGGCTCCTGACATGAGACACTGTGTCTTCCTGGGCAGAGGGGAGGTGTCTGCAGCTACCCTTGAGATTTTCTGCTTCCCTGGCCCTCTTTCCTGCCTCTCACGTTTGGCCTTTTTTAAGGGGTCTCTTGTTTCACCCCTCCCTTATAAGTATCCCTAACAGACGCTGGTACTGGTAAGGTTTTGGGATGTGTATTTTTGGGATTACAGTGCAAAACAGAGAGACTTATCCAAATACCACATATTAATTCCTCCCCACCCCCAGTTTACTTGGATTCCTAGTGCTGGAATTGTCCATGTTTTTCACCTAATTTTGGGGTTTGAGTGCCACATCTGGTGGTGCTCCAGGGCCACTCCTGTCTCGCTTGATGCTTCAGGGCTACTTCCAGAGGTGCTAGAAGGTCATGCAGTGGCAGGACAGACTTTGGCCTCTCACATGCAAGGTGTGTGCTCCAAGCCTTTGAATCATTCTCAGGCCAGCTTTCTCAGGTCTTGTCATATTTAAGACCCTAAAGGTTACATGCAAAAGAAGACACTGGGGCAAAGTACTGATATAAAATTTTTATCTCTTTCCTATCTTTGATTATCTCCTGGGACAAAGCCCAGAGCATATTGATAGCCTGTGTTTCCAGCTCTGACTGTGACTCCAGGTGAGAGTAACCTACTTCTCTCCATGAGTCATGGCGGAATAGGAGCTGTTCGTGGATCAGAAGATCTAGGAACATAGATCCACTTCACTGCATGCTAGCATGAACAACAAGCAAACAACCTAACCTCTCTGAGGTTATCATCAGGTCATTATCATCTCATTCACTAGCATCTCGGATTACAGGTTTTGTAATTAATGATGGAGACAATGCAGAAAAAGTGTGCCCTGGCCTCTTTATATCCTGTATCATACCTGGGGGACCAGCCGACAGAACAAAAAAGCTCAAACCAGGTATATCTTCCTTTTAAGTTATTAGGGATTCTGCTTTCAAGAAGAAACTGCTCTTTTCACTTTCCTTGAAGACTTTGAGATGTTTTCTTTTCTCCAGGAGGGCAGATCCTAGCCTTGAATCACATCAGTTTGGAGGGCTTCACCTTCAACATGGCTGTGAGGATGATTCAGAATGCTCCAGACAAGATAGAATTACTCATTTCTCAGCCCAAAGGTATGTGCTCATTGGCTTTCCCAGACAGGAAAAGGCCTCCTTTGTTTGCGGGAGTACATTGTCACCATGGAGGATCTGTAAGTCCATGTACATTTTTGCTTTTGTTTTCTTTTTTGGCAGAGTGGCTAGCAAAGAAGTAACGGTAGTGTCAGAGATCAGCAGGTATTGGCCTATCAGGGGCAGAACGCTCCTGCTGCTACTTGTCCTCTGGCACAGAACCACCTATTCGTTTGTTAGACATTGCTGCTACACCCAGCATATTGGTTCTGCTGTTTGCTTGTTTGTTCATTTCTTGGCCTGCCCTTTTTGCATGAACATGAGGACTGTTGTTGTTGTTGTTTGTCATCAAAGTCCTTATTGAAAGTAACTGGATTTCTTTTTTTTTCCTTTTTGGGTCTTACCCAGCAATGCTCAGGGGTTACTCCTGGCTCTGCGTTCAGGAATCACTCCTGGCGGTGCTCGGGGGGACCATATGGGATGCTGGGGATCGAACCTGGGTTGGCCGCATGCAAGGCAAATGCCCTACCCTCTGTGTTATCACTCCAGTGCTGAAAGTAACTGGATTTCATTTAAAAATTCAATTTTGGTGAGACTGTCTGGTGGGAAGGAGACAGAGAAATGGATCTTTGCAACTGAATTTGTATAGCCAGTACATTGTTCTTATTCAGTGCCCATTTAGAGATCAACCCCAAAAGGTTTAAAGCCAAAAACATTTTAAAATGCTTTTATTCAGCCTTTATGTAACTAGAAGGGAAAAGTAATTACCTAACATCAAAGAGTAATATTACTGCACTTAGTTGGAGCAGGTTTGGGGAGTGGACGGAGATAATGGTGGAGGTGAATGTCTCCCAGTTACCAGAGACTATTAGCACATGATCTCAAGCAAATAACCTAAACTCTCTGAGCTGCAAATCATTATCATCTCAGTCACTAGCATCTTGGATTACAGGTTTTGTCATTAATGATGGAGAAGATGCAGGCAAAGTGTCCCCTACTGCTTTTTTTGACTCAATGATCTTGTAATTTAACAGCAGACTGCCTGCAAATCCAGGCTCATGGATTTCGTCCATACATTCCCAAAGCATGAATCACACAGAAGCATGTTTTTCCTTATGCGAAGAAACACTTCACATCATGAGAGTTAGTATTTCCAACTTCTGAATGTGGGTACCCCATTCGCTGTCCTTGAAAACAACACAACTCATTGCTGCACATTAACACACAAACTGATGGCTTTCCCAGGCGTGGCCCAGGCCCCTGCTCTCGAAACCACGTAAGGAAGAAGGTAATGAAGTTGGGGCCTCAGCCACCATGTTTCATCTTGTGAGTGGCGCTAACTCAAGGCCTGGCACTTCACACCATCAGATCTGCTCACTGCCTCAGACTCCCCAGCAGCATCACTGCTCTTTCCCTGGTATTTACACTCCTTCCATTTCCTTCCACTGTCCTATAGGAATGAGTTTGAGTAGAGCACTCAGACCATCCTTTGATTGGTCAGAAAGCACTGATCCACTGTGCTGTGATCAACATACATACTGCTCATGGATGGGCGGACTCTGGGGGGGTGTCAAAAAGAGACACTCAGAACCTTTGAGACTCAAACCACAGCTGCACATTAGAATCTTAGACAACGGATTTCCCACAAGGCCTGTGAATTCCATGTCCTCTCACCCTGGGTCCTCAGTTATGTGTTGGTAAACTGCCTCATCACAGTTGGGGACCCTACACAGCTGCTACGATTGCCTGAAGAAGATATTTCCATAATGATGCTGGCTGGGTCTCCTGGGTTGAGCCTTGACCACCATGAATTTATGTCAGGTTTATATTGTTGGAGCAGGTAGTCTAGACTAGAAGTCAGGGACAAGACAGATAATGTTCCCATCATAAGCAGCCATCACTGTCAACAATAGATTGAGTCTTAATTACCTACAGGAGGTCTCCTTGCTTGTATTTCTATTAGGCAGGAAACAAGTTGCACAGCTTGACTTTTTAATTCAGTTTTACATCCTGTCATTGTCTCATGTGGAGGGTGTAGAAGAAAATGAACAGATGCTTACAACATTGCCAGAAGGACAATGACAGTGGAGTTGAGAATGAATGAATGCCAGGAATGAAGCATTACAGAATGATAGTCCCTCCATCCTCTAGTATTACCTTTAGGTTTGAATAACTTCAAATCTAATTAATTAAATTAAATTCCCTTACTGTGTGAGTTTGAGCATTGCTCTGAATGCTAATGAGTCTGTTTCAAAACCTACTTCCATATTTTTATATCTCCATCTAAAGATAATACAACTTATTTATTTATTTATCCATGTGAATTTGTTAGGCAGCTAATAGAAACATATTAACATAACTACATTTCTGAAGTTCTACCATGTACATGGTATATAACATCTTTATACCTCTTCCTACAATGTAAAATTGATGATATATTTTATTTATAAACATTACAAACCATAAAATTGTTGATAGTTCTGTTTCAGGTAAAATGAAATTGAGGTTAAGTACCTGGCCCCAGGCTTTACCTGTTAATTCCAGAGCTCCAATTCTTTCCTCTGTTCTGTGCCAAGTCACGATTCAAATACGGGATGAATAGGAATTAGTGTCTCAGCTTTTACCCACAGGGAGTTTGTGGTCTGATTGTTGCCAAGCTTCCCCAAATGTCCTGACCTGAAGCGATGAATTTTGGCTAACATGGAAATAACAGATTGTTCAGAGAGGCTCTGCAAGAAGTGAAGTCTAAGAGAACCACCACATCTTGTTCATTGCATATTGGTTATGATGCTTAATCCTTTCAACTCTGCTTTTTCATGTTTGGACAGAGATAATACCTTTCCAGTAGGTAAAGATGAAAAGATGAAAAGCTGTGTATGTGAGCACAAACTTGTGCGTGTATGTTGGTATGTCTTTGCACTTATTTATATCGTGTGTGTGTGTGTTGCTCATCAAATGGCAAGAACTTAATAAAGGAGAGCCGCTAATTATCAATTCTCTACCACTCCTGTGTTTTTACAGTTGAGTTGAAGCATCCTATTTAAGTTTTGAAATCATACCCAAAATCTCCCCTTTCTCTATTCCGCATGCATCCAAAATTTACATCGTTCCCAGCAGCTATAAAAGGTCGCCCTGTCAATGGAGGAAAACGGTGCTCTGCGTGTAGAGATGCCACCTTTATGCCAGTCTTTTCAAGCTGTTGACTCCTTTCTGGCTTGTTTTTATAAATGTTTTCCAAAAGACCCCCAAGTGAGGAAAAGAATAGCACAGCCAATTCTGAGGTCTTCTCCACAGACAGCCTGAGCAATGGATACCAGGGAAGATTTTCACCACACAAGCAAGACCAGGTGCAAAATAATAGAGGGCAAGAAGTGACTGGACTTCAGAGCTTTATACCCACGCTGAGACCCCAGCTTTCCTTCCTGCAGTTAAAGGTAACTGCCCCCTGGCTCCTCCCTTGAATCTGGGAGAGAGAGAACAGAGCTCAACAGCCTTAATTCCAAAGTTCCTCTATAGAGATTTGTTAACTCTTTGACCCTCAAACAATGCCTGATTGTTGAGAATAATCTAAAGAGAGGAAGACAAAACCCTTCCAGCATTGTGCCTGACTTATCTTTGAGCCTCCAAGGTCTGGGTCCTTTTTCCTTAATTGTAATCGTTGCTAGAAATAACATTGGCTGTTGCCAAGAGCAATGCATCAGCAATCAGGCATCTTCTAGTCTTGATCTCTAGCTGGTTCTCAAACTGTAGTTGGATGACTTTGCTCTTGACAACCACACCGAGGGAAAAGCAGCCTTCGTCACAGAGTTCTGTGCTTTTGCTCCAGGTCCATGATCCTCCAGCTGTTTTCTTGGACACCTTTGCTCCTTCAGACCTTTCTCCCTTCTATTCTGGTGCCCTGAATGTTCCTGGGTTGTCTTAGTTAGTTCTGGTTAACTCTGCCAAGGAGAAGCCCAGTATGCAGAAAAAAAACCACACAAACAAAAGCCTTTTCCTATTTTCCCTTTACTCTGACAGTTATGACCATTTTTTCTGAAGCCAGATGTGATTTTTCCACACCAAGAAATTCTTACATCAGCTGCCCACAGTTAGTATCACATCCCATACTAAGGGCTCAGTCTTACAAGAGAAAACCCAGTTTAGATGTCAGTTCTAAGTCTTAGGCCCTAAGGTGCCACACACGCTGACATGGTTACAAATTGGTGGTATGCAAAGATTCCTCCTTGGGTTGTATTATTGCCTAGGACAGCTCATAGAGCCCCCCCCCCAAAAAAAAACATTTTACTGATTATGCATTTTGTTACAAAGGATGTTTAAAACCAGATAAAGTGATAGTGAAGACTGCAATGGTCCCAAGGGCGGGAACTTCTGCCTCTGGGAGTTGGGGTGTGCCACCTGCTGGTAGGTGGATGTTTTTACCAACCTGGCAACAATTCTTTGATTTAGGGAGTTTCATTAAAGACATCATGGAGCTTTGAGCATACTCCAGCCTAAAAATTTTACTTAAATATTAATTGTACTTTGCAACGTGGTGGATCAAGAGGCAGCTAAGCAGAGGTGGCAAATGGGACCAGAGTTGGGAGTAGCCATGCTCTCATCTAGCAGGTCTGTGTTATCACACTGCCTTCCCTTCAGCAACTTAAACAGTGCCTGGCATGTAATTGATGCAGCCTCATTGATGAATGATAGATAACTCATACATGGTAGGAGTCATAGTACTGAGAAAAATGATTGGCATTTTGTAGACAATTCTTCTCTTCTGTCCTTCCCTTAAGCATGTTTTAGATACTCAAATGTAACAATCTTGTTAAGGATGATTAAAAGTTCTCCTGAGGTTTTCTTCTGCTTAAAATCTGCTGCATGTCACCTCGTATCTAGTATATCATCACTTGGATGGTATTCTGTGTGAGGCTCTCAGGAGGTGCCTGGATGCTACATTTACCGAGTAGGAATGAAAGGAACTGCCGTTATTGAGTAGAAACAGGAGGATGTACATTTATTGAGCAGAAATAGAAGAACCGCATTTATTGAGTAGAAATAGGGGAAACTATATTTATTGAGCCTCTGTTAAATGTTGGGTATCACTTATAGTCCCATTAAGCAGAAGCTATCTCTTTCCAGTTCTGTGAATTGGGAAACCAAGATTGGAGTGACCAATCAGAGTCAGGAGCTAAACGAAGTCAGGAATTAATCCCCATTCACCAAACCTCAAAGCTTGTGCTCTTTTTGATGGACAATGCTGCTACTCCTGAGAGCAGGCGGGAGTGGAGAGGCAACATTACCTTAGGTAGGGAAAATGTTCTCACATTCTCTTGATCTTCATTTATTCACTTGTGACAGGGTGCTGGTTCCTGTCCTCTAGCATTTCCCGAGGTCAATGCCAATGAAATCTACTTCGTGGAACTGGCTAAAGAAGATGGGACTCTTGGCTTCAGTGTCACTGTAAGAAAACTTATAGAAAACTTACTGAGAAAGATTAGAGAAAAGTTAAACAGTTATAAGATGTTCGTCTGGAGCTTTGGGGGATATTTCACTCATGACCACTGCTGATCCTGTGTTGCTTGAGCTCCAGAAAGAAGTATGGGCGTAGCGGATGATCCAACAGTCAGAGTGAACATGGTTGAGTGTGGGTACAGTGGTGAGAATGGGAGTGTGAACACATATTGGGAGACCTAAGACCCTATTGGGATGAACAGGAAATCCCAGCAGTGTGGGTGTAGCTGGGTGATGGATGAGCCCTGACTCTGTCTATGCTGGACAACAGGAGAGGACATCAGGGTGGGGTCTCAGGGACACAGATCAAGGTGGGTCAAGTAATTAGAGCCATCCAGAATAGGGTCACAGTGATGCCCAGTGCTCCCACCTCCAAGACTAGGAACTGTCTATCAGGCCAGGAACTTTGCCTTTAATTTCTGAGGTTATTTTTTTTCAGAATACACACAAATTTATTGTGGAAATAGCAAAACATAGAACAGTGGGTAGGGCGTTTGCCTTGCACACGGCCGACCCGGGTTTGATTTCTGGCCTCTCACATGGTCCCCCAAGCACCACCAGGAGTAATTACTGAGTGCAGAGTCAGGATAACTCCTGAGCATTGCTGGGTGTGACCCAAAACCAAACCAAACCAAACCAAAACAAAACAAAACAAACAGATCAGATCAGCAATTGCAAGTAATTGGAAATGGGGAAAGGGAGTAAATAAAAAAGATGAGATTCGTCTTGATTTTGATGCCAGTTACATGACCATTACATTACATTTGTAAAAACAGTACCATATGTTAAAAGGGGTCAGTATTGCTGTATGTAAATTATACAATATTAACTCCAATTTCATTTTGTTTGGGGTTCACGCCCAGTGATGCTCAGGGCTTAGTTCTGCTCATGTGTAACACAGAACTATTACTCAGCCCCCTAGTGGAGCCTGGGAGACCCAATTAAAGAGCTGGGGATTGAACACAAGAGCCTTACCTGCTGTACCATCTCTCTGCCCATTAACTGTTTTTAAAATACATTAGTGGGGCTGGAAAGATAATACAGTGGCTAGGGGATTTGAGCACCACCTAAAACAAACATGAAACAAAAGCCATGAGCAAGTTATAATAGACATAGAATAGAAATAATTTACAATACTTCCTTTTGTGTGGTTTGAGCACAGTCATGCCAGGTTTGCTCAAGAGTTTGCATTGCGTCTGAGATAGTTCAATGGGATACTGCACATGATTTGCATGTATGGGAGACCTGAGTTGCTCCATTGGATCGTCTGGTCCCTGAGCTCCACCAGGAACCACCCCAGGCAAATGGGAGTAGCCCCTTGTAACTGCCAGGTGTAACCCCCAAGCCAAAATATATTATCCAAAAGAGCATGTATCAACTAATTTGTATTGTGAAGTGATGTAGGCATTGCAGTCATTTCTGAGTTTTATCTGGCAGATCCCAGGGGAGGGAGAATAAAAAAAAAACCTGCAAGAATGGTGTTCCACTGATGTAAAAATCTACATACGTGTGTATGCATGCATTAACTCAATTAAAAGAAAAATGTATTTATCTATGGGGACATTCATGAGTTATTAGTTAAGTATCTACCTATCTCTATTGATATTTGGTGTTTTGGGTCAACACCCATGTGATGCTGGTGGATATTTCAACTCTGTGCTCCAGGGGAGCATGTGGTTCAAGGGATTCAGCCCAAGATTTCTGCCTGTGCTCAGTCCATTGAGTAAACTCTCTGGCCCAAGTGTAAATTTTCCTAAAGTAAGCTGCAGAATACCAGGGAGTTGTATTTTACTTCTGTGTCATAGACCATTTACAAGTGCATATAAGACTTGCCTCAAGCAGCCTTTGGGCTTGTAGCTGTACCCATCTAGGCTGCAGACTTCCTGTAAAGAGACACAGTGTGACTGATTTCTGAACACCTGCCACAGTCCAGTGTAGGGCTCATTTCACTGTGCACTTAGGAGCACCGTAATGGCAATGTTATGGTCTGAGCAAATAAGTGGAAATCTAAGATGTCACCTGGTGACGAGGCAGAGGAAAAGAGTAACACGGTACTCTTATTGGGGTACATTACAGAGCCTCCCAGGAGGAGGTTAGACCAGTGAAGAGTTTTCTATTGTATTCTTTAGGGTGGCATCAACACGAGTGTGCCCTATGGTGGTATCTACGTGAAATCCATTGTTCCCGGAGGGCCAGCAGCCAAGGAAGGACAGATCCTGTGGGGTGAGGCATGGGGGGGTCATGTTCGGCTCTTGTGTACCTGGTGTGCTGACCCTGGCCTGGGAGAGAGTGTTTGGACCTTACCTCCTCCCACTCAAAGACTCCTGGTTTGCATCTGGGGCCCATGTTACTGGGTGCACCCACAGAGAGACCGACCCCAGGGTCAAATGTGTGTGATGACACACTCACAAGCATGGGGTGGTTTAAAAACACTGTTTCAAAGCTTGTTACTGTTGCACCTACCGTGGAGAAAGCAGTGTTTTTGAAGGGGAGCACAGTGACCCCTTTGTTAAGGCTGGGGTAGGAGGTCTGGGGGTGTTTGGGGCCACACGCCACCCTAGAGCCTCCTCTGTGCCCTTCCTCATGTCTTTGGCCCTGAAGGGAGGAGCTGATTCTTATTGTTCTCCTGAACTGAACCAGAAAGGACACCTCAGATCTGCCCCCCTTAGAATCCCATTGTCCCTGCATCAATCACGCAGCTCTCCCTGACCTTTTATGAAAAAGAAAAATCCAGGACATATCAGTTTTGGTCCAAAGTGGCCTGAAGGAGAAGGATGAGCTGAGCGGGCTCCCTCCAGCCCTCTGGGAGCGAATCATAGAGAGTCTCAGTCTCACTCCTCCGGCTCCACCGCAGGGGCTCCTCACGGCAATGCTTCCTGCCCCCCCTTGTGGCCGCACGGAGGGGTGCAGGCAGGGACGGTCCCGTAGACTCTGTAAGGTGTCCACGGCCTGGCAACATGACATCTGTGCTTCTCTCAGGTGACCGGCTCTTGCAGGTGGATGGCGTGAGTCTGGGTGGCCTCACCCACAAGCAGGCCGTGCAGTGCCTCAAGGGAACGGGGCAGGTGAGTGCACCGTCAGAGGGGCCGGGTTCCTGGAGAACATCAAAATCCGCCCCAGGGCAGGCAGAAAGCAGAGCAAAAAGGAATTTCTCTTTTTTGTTTCCACCCCTCCACCACCCCAACACATCTTCCTCCTACCACTACTTTTTTTTTTCTTTTTGGGTCACACTCCGCGATGCACAGGGGTTACTCCTGGCTCTGCACTGAGGAATTACTCCTGGCAGTGCTCAGGGGACCATAAGGGATGCTGGGAATTGAACCGGGTCGGCTGCGTGCAAGGCAAACTCCCTACCCGCTGTACTATTGCTCCAGCCCCCCTACCACTACTTTTGTATGGACATGGGAAAGTCTGGATGAAGCAGACAGATGTTTCAAGCAGAAAAACTCCAACCCCCACCCACCCACTCCCATCCCCAAGAGCCTCTTCTTGCTGTCACTTGCCTGGATTCAGAACGGAGCTGGTAAAGGGAAACTGGGTCTCCTGCCTGACCCTGGGTGTCCCTCAGGCTCTCTGCTAGAGCCTCAACTGACCCGTGCTTCGTGCCTCTGCTCAGGTCCTCTCACCAACGTGTCTTTTGCACGTGCTTTATCCCCACCGCCATCCCACTTGAAAATTGGCACCTTGTTTGAGGCGACCCACTGTTCCTGGGGCTTTGCATCTGAGTGAAGTTGAAATTTAAGAATCAGAGCCCCAGCAGCTCCCTCCCATTCCAAGTTCCTTCTTCCGTGCCTGGGCAGCTTCTGAGGTGTTAAGAGGCTGTGTGTGGTGCATCCTTATCCTAGGTGTGGGAGCCTTTACTTGTCCTGGAATCCCAAGTCACACAGCTGGCACTTGGGATTTCAGGCACTTAGTGCCTGAATAGTCAGTAGAGAACAAAAGGACTTCTAGGACTTTTACAGAAAATGGTGTTGCATAAGGGTCCTTTTTTTCCACTTCATTTTCTAAAAAGAGCCTTCTGGTTTATGATAAAATTTATTTTATATTGGGGACCTGGGTTGGCACAGTTTGAGAAGAGAGTCATAATTTATTAGTATTGTCTGTTCTTCAGACCTTTGCCAATGAACTTGGTTAGAGGAGATATTCAGCTGACTAGGAATTGTCACTCTGAGATCCCAGACCTGGTGCTGAATAATTGCAGCAGGGGGAGATGGGCAGAACCAAGCTCCCTGATGGGAGGTTGGCATTGCTAAAAAGCTTCTAGTACTTTCAGTCCAGTCACTGGTTCTTGAGTATGCTTTGGAGAACAAGGTCTTTCATATGTGAAAAACGAAGAAAGGAGGGTTGTAAAACCAGAAAGAATGCTGGAGGGGGCTGGAGTGATAGCACAGTGGGTAGGGTGTTTGCTTTGTAGAGGCCGATGGGATTTGGGGTTCGATTCCCAGCATTCCATATGGTCCCTCGAGCACCGCCAGGGGTAATTTCTGAGTGCATGAGCCAGGAGTAATCCCTGTGCATCGCTGGGTGTGAACCAAAAAGAAAAAAAAGAAAAAAAGAAATAAGAATGCTGGAGGCTTGACTGGCAGAGAGCTGGGAATTTAGTTGTGGGGACACATTTGAGACTCTTTTGTAAGAGGAATGCACGTTTGCTTTATCTCTTAGATTAATCCACCGTAGCCATGAGGGGAGTGAGGAAAGGAGGAAGACAGGGTCTAAAAAGCCAAGTTAACTGTCATAGTTCAGCGCTGTAGGACACTCGCGGCAGGAGGGGGACTGGAGGATTAGGAGCACTAAGGGGGGTGTTTCCACAGGCGACCCCTCAATACCAGGAGGGAAGAGTGCAGGGCAGAGGGAAGAGTGGGGCCACTGCAAGTGTGAACTCTGGGAGGTTAGTTGGGGCAAACTTCCAAATTATGGGAGAGAAAACTCAAGGGGAGGAATATTTCACAGATTTGGAACGAGGAGAGGTGCTCAGGGTGAAGGAAAGAAAGGAGATGAATTTGCCCTTGAATACACTGACACAGAGGTACAGATGCTGCTTTCAGAAGCTTTTTTGTTCAAACTGATGTTGTAAATGTGACTCTGGATCTTAATAGGTGGGAGATTTTGATTTGAGATTCAAATGAAGGAGCTAGTGGAAGTATCAGGAAATGAAGATAGAGCAAAGAGAACCACCTGACTGCTGTACGAAGTGTAAATCGAGTCTTTCCATCTATCCTAGGTGGCACGGCTGGTCTTAGAGAGAAGAGGCCCCAGAACTGCACAGCAGTGTCCTTCGGCTAGTGACAGGATGGGAGATGAAGGCACTGCAGTTTCCTTGGCAACAGCCTTGCCTGACAGGCCCCCACACTGCATCTCAGCGACAGATGGTGAGAGGAGAAAGATTTGAGTGTTACTATTGTCATGTCATCCTGTGCTGTCTTTGCGTTGTTGGCTCAAGAAAAGGGAGAGCAGGAAGCCTTCTTCTCTCTGGCTTCTCAATAGAGAAGCCAGCAGTGGTACTCTTGATGCAGTCAACTCTCTGATGCAGTTGGAAGCCAATCTAATGGAATATGTTTCTGGAGGAACAAAAAGTATTGTTCTAAAAACGATTACCAGGCAAAATCCTGTTCTCGAGTTTTCTGAGGTTTTCTGATCAGCAGTGGGAATGGGTGTGTATGAGTATTATGGATGAAATTGGAGTGGAAGAGCCATACATTAATGTCCGAAGATCCACATTCTGAAGGACAAGACATTCATAACAGGATATCTGAGAAATGATGAGACAGGCTGAGATAGGAAAATGCTCAAAACATCAGAGCATAGTTATTAACATCAGTGCAAAAAGCAACTTGTGATCCCTTTACAATGGACATCATTGGATATCTTCTGATGGGTCAACCAGTCTGCACTTGCTTGGAACTTTGTTTCCTGCTAGGAAGATATTTTTTCTTCCATTATGTTATGATTTGGAACTTAGACATTTTCAATCTCTCTAGGGAGATTTTCCAGGCTTGTTGCTGAAGGTATTAGTAAGTTTGTTGCTAGAGTAGTCAGTGAGTGAAGAAGTAGGGCAGGGGGGAACACATGGGACTCAAAACTGTTTCCTCTTTCATAGCTCCTCCACCCACTCCCGTGAGAGTCTTTGAGAATCTCACACAGTGAGCTGAGAGTTAGATGACAACAGCGGTAAACTGGTCTCCCTAGAGTCTGGACCCCAGGTGCTTTGGATGTTCTCATTCTTGCTCCACAGCAGTGGAGAGAGACTGACCTGGTGGTGTATCATACCCCGAAGATGTTGAAGCACTTATGCTCTTGTAAACCCATGCTCCCTTTATAAAATAAATTAATTAAATGCCAAAAAGTGTTTACAAGTCAGTGTTCTGTGTCTTGTTGATTTGCGATGTGCTCGCTGAGTTAGTGAAGGCCAACTAAGGTGGCCCTTCGACCTCACTGGCTCAGACTAATTAGGTATTTGGCTCTGAGTCCATTCGTCCCAAAGGCAGTTCTCTTGCATCTTCTGTCACATAGCTAAACAAAATAGCAGGAAAACCATGTTCATAGAATTGGCCGCAGTTGTCTCCATGGTCTAATTATGCATAATTTTGTTTCAAGCATAATAAAAAGTGATTGAGCTTTAAAGGAGTAAAGGAGCCTTTGTGGTATAATTTTTACTAGATGCGCATGGTATAATGTGTTTATATGTATACTAATCTTTACATAAAACATTGTTTATTTTCTATAATTGTGCTATTCTTCTATATAGTGATCAATTATCACATGTAGCCAAATATTTGAACTGTTTAATACAAATTGGTGGTGTATATACTGGGGTTTGAAGACTTATTCATAAGAACAACATAAGTGAGCTTATTATTCGTTATATTGATTACATATATAAGGGCTGGAGCGATAGCATATTGGGTAGGGCGTTTGTCTTGCACACGGCCAACCCGGATTCGATTACTCTGCCCTTCTGGGAGAGCCCTGCAAGCTACCAAGAGTATTCCACCCATACGGCAAAGCCTGGCAAACTACCTGTGACGCATTTTATATGCTAAAAACAGTAACAACAAGTCTCACAATGGAGACGTTACTAGTGCCTGCTCAAGCAAATTGATGAACGGGAGGACTGCGCTACAGACAGTGCTACACATATAAATGATATCATTCTCGATATTGATTAAGAAAAAATATGTAAGTTAATTTGACCTACTTCCTCTTTTTATAAATAAACTACTTGAAGACTTTCAAATGATACATGTGATTTGCACTTGCAGTTCACTTACTTCTAGTGGATAGCGACAATCAATAAAATGTTTAATAGACTTTTTAAAAATTAAAATTAGCGAAATGAAATCTTTCTACATAAAACAGAAACAATTCCAGTCTTTGACTTTCTGCATTTTCAGGCTACTGATTTCACCTGGATTGTCCTGAAGGACTGATCTTATTCACATCCCATATTACAGGTCCTAAATTTGAAGTCAAACTAAAAAAGAATGCTTGTGGTTTGGGATTCAGCTTCGTGCAGATGGAGGGAGAGAGCTGTGGCCATCCCAAGAACTACCTTGTGAGAATTAAGAGGCTCTTCCCAGGGCAGCCAGCAGAGGAGAATGGGGCCATTGCAGCTGGGGACATCATCCTGGCTGTGAACGGAAGGCCCACAGAAGGCCTCGTCTTCCAGGTGAAAGATCAGGAGGGAGGCACCAGTGGGAGGAGTACTCTGGTTTTCAGAAATAAGAACTGGAGCCTGAATTTTGCTCACACAAAGAGAGCACGTTCTTCCTTTTAATTCTCTACCCCATTTCTTAAATATCTTACCTTGACTAAGCCTTGTTTTTCATTAGGATTGCAATGAAATTGAATAGACAAGTCTGGCTTCTGTACAAGCTGACAGTCTTTGAACACATTGGGGAGATAGATGTGAGGGTTGAAGGTGTCTATTTCTGCCCTTTCTCTACCAAATTACATTTTTATGCACATTTGTGCATTGGTTATCCATCATAAAAATTGCAGTTATAAAAAAGTGAAAAATGGACGCTTGTCAATATATACAAAAACATTGCATCTCAAGAAATTTTGTATGTATCAGTCAGGATCTGGGCAGAAAATTGGGTCATTTGAGAAGCATTAATAATCCAGCTTTCAGGGAGCTCAAGACACAATGGGATGGGGGGGGGAGTGTTATATCTCTCCAGATCCAAAGGGATAAAGGAAGGATCAAATACTCAACCATAGAAACTGAGAGAGCTGGGCAGAATGATCACTACCTTGTGGGACTTGGCTATGGAACTAGCTAAAGGATGGGAGGAGACATTAACCATCTTGCCTGGTGGTAAACAGAAAACAAATACCACCTCCCTCTCCTCCCTGTGTCTGGCTTGGGCCCAGTGGCAGACTGTAGCTTAGCTGTGAAGTCCAGTTTCCAGCCCACATCAAGGCACATGAGGTAGTGAGTGGCCCACGGTGTGGAGAGTGTCCATGGCAGTGTGTACTAGGGTGTGGGTGTCCCATCCAGTATCCAGCTTCTTATACAGCAACCATTTTCTCCAAACCTCTGCTGGGTCAGAAGGTCTAAGCATACTCAACTAGGGGAACTGCAAAGAACACCATGGAAATGAATTTTAAGAGAGTTAAAAAGGCCCTGTTGCCCTATGTGGTGTATGGGACCCAGGAAAGGGAGCACATCCTCTGGATGGCATTTTGACTAAAAGGGGATTAGGTAGCATCCAGCTCAGTAGTTCTTGGGGCTGTAACTCAGTGGTAGAACATTTGACTATAGATCAGTAGTTCTCAAGTATGGGCAATTCTGCCTTTCAAAGGACACTTGGGAAAGTCTAGAGCTGTTTAATTAAGATGACAACAAATGACAGGTCTACTGCGTCTAGTGAGTAGAGACCAAAAATGTTCTAAACCCTGCAATGCACAGGACAGATTTACAACAGAGAATTACAGTTTAACATGTCCATAGCGCCAAAGGCTGAGAAATTCTGGTCTCAATAGGAAACAGGAATGTTCAAGGTCACCTTAAACTCTGTGATCTGACTGATCATGTGTGTTTTAAAAAATGATTAACTTATACAAACAAACTTGAACACTTCATGGACAGTTTCCTTTAGGATAACTGAAAAGAGGGGAGGGGAGGGATATAAGGGAAAAATTTTATGGGATAAATAATAAAAATCAAGGGACAGATAAATAGAAAATATCTGATGGGCTATGCGAAAATCAACTGTGTTTGGGATGAAAATATGCAGATTTGGCTTGACACTGGGAATTAACTGACTGTTCTGATCAAATGGAACATGGATGGGGACAAGATTATCCACATTTTGGTTTGCTGTTGTGGCACCCTGGAGCAGGAGCACCACATTTACTGTACCATCTAGTGGGTCTAGAAGGTTATTTCAACAGAATTGAGGGACTTGGGATGGGAACTCAGACTATGGGGGCAGGAGGGAGCAGGTAGGTAGAGAGAGGGACATATAGGACAGGTAGGTAGATGAGAAAGGGGCAGATAAGGACAGGTCCTGGGTTCTGTGTTTGGGAACTGGTGAGTGAGAAAGGGACTCAGCAGGAGAAGGACCTGGCTACATTGTGGGGAGAGAGAGGGAGGGAGAGAGAGAGAATGAGAAAGAGGGAGGCAAGAGAGTGAGAGCAAGAAAGAGGGAGAGAAGGAGAGAGAGGGACAGAGGTATGGAAGGATGGAGAGAGAGGCAGAGTGTGAAGAAGAGGTGTGAGAAATGGGGAGAACAGAGGAGGAGTTCTCATAGCCATGGCAGTATGTAATCACAAATTCTGACTTCTCTTAGGAGGTGCTCCATTTATTGCGAGGGGCCTCACAGGAGGTCACACTTCTCCTTTGCCGACCCCCTCCAGGTGTCCTGCCTGAGATGGATCCGGAATGGCAGGTAAGACCTGGTGCTCTTTTCTCTCTCCACCCACCTCATGCTCAGTCATCCTTCTCCTGTCGGAGGGGGTGGGGGTGGGGGGGGGGTCCTGAGAAGTCTGATCCTGCCTTAAGCAGAGTGCAAAGCTACCTTTGTTCACTTTGGCAGGAAAATAGCTATCCCTCATACTTCAATTGATCTGTAACAAGTTCTGTATCTCCCAGGGCTTGAGTGTTTCTGAAGTGGTCACATGTTTAGATTTTGACTGTGGAACTCCTAGAGTCAGACTCTCTGGCAACCCAAATGTTCGGGAAGGGAAACCAAGAATAGATTCCATTCGGAAGAGAGAAGTGGATGTATGCTCAGGATGGATGTCTTCTCACCCTTCTAAAGCATGGATTAGACATATATAGCTCACTGCAAAGAAAGAAGGCATGCAGTCAGGAAAATTAAGAATTTTTAGGTCACACCCAGTAGTACTGAGGAGCTACACTTTACACCCAGTGGTTCTCTTGGGAACTGCGTAGGGGTCGAGCCCAGGCCTTCCACATGCAAAACATAGACTCAGCCCACTGAGCTACCTGACCAGTCCAGAAAAAATAAGATTTGGAATTGAACAATTTAAATTCTTCCCAGTAGAATGGTAAGCCAGAGACTTGGGAAACTTGATGTTAGGAGCATAAGGCAGTCTGGAGGCAGAAATTATTTTAAGATCTCAGTTTTTTCCTTTATTTTATTTTTGGAAAGGGTTTTTGGGTCATACCCAGTGGTGATCAGGGGCTATTCCTTGCTTTGTGCTTAGGAGTAACCCCTAGCAGTGCCTCGGGGATCATGCTGTGGAATCAAACTAGGGTCAGCTGCATGCAAGGCAAGTGCCTAACCCCTGCGTATCGCAAGGGCCCCTTGGTCCTTTTACTTTAAGATTCTCAACTAATTAAATGAAGCTCATTCACACTGTAGAGGGTAATCTGCTTTACTCAAACTCTACTAATTCTAACATTTAAAATAATTTCACAGAAATAATTTCACAGAAACAGCTTAATTAATATTCAACCAAATATCTGGGTTTGGAGGCATAGTCAAGATAGCCCATAAAATTGACCCTCATGGTGCCACCTGGTGGGTTTCTGGGACTGAGAATTTGGGAAGGATTCATATGTGGGAGGTTTTGTGGGTGAGTTCTTGAGAGGGGGTTGGAAAGTAGCACTGCAAAGAGGAAGCTGATGGGGTACAAGTGCTGGGCTTTACCTGCCCACAGGAAGCTCTGGAGCTGGGATGGCCCCTCAGGGCTGAGATGAATCAAGGCACGAGATTCTGTGCCTTTGCTTCTAACCTGCACAAAGGAGAGAGCCTACATCTCCATCCAGTGAGTGTGATTCAGAGAAGAATGAAGGGGTCAAGGATGAGCCATCAGCAGCCAGCACCTCTGGTAGGTGCTAAGGAGAGGTCTTGAGCCTGGAGGAGGATCTGCGTGGACACAAACAGATGCCCAACTTCTCCAGGTCTAGGGCCCAAAGAGATAGTACAGTGAGTGTTTGTCTTGTACATGGCCCATCTGGGTTCTATCTCTGGCATCCCATGGTCTCCAGAGCATTGCCAGAAGTGATTCCTGGGTACACAGCCAGAAGTTTCCCTTGAGCATTGCTAGGTGTAGCCCAAAAAAAACTCAAAAGAAAAAAAATATCCCAACTTTTCCAGACCTCCTGAGTCCTTACCTCTGAGACAGGGATAAAGGTAACCACTCGTCATCACCAACAGTCTATACTAATATGTCTTGGACCCACTGATGTGTGGACTCCCAGAGGTCATCTGACACTCTGGAGAGAAAAGAGTTCTGGAGAGATGATTCACAGGGCTGAGCACAAGCTTTGTATGCTGGAGGCCTGGCTTGATCCCCAGTACTGCATAATTCCTGAGTACTAATGTGACCCTCAGGCACAAAGTCAGGAGTAGCCTCTGAACACCACCAGGTGTTTCCCGCACATAAAAATAAGAAAAGAGCTTTGAAACAAAAATTGGAAAATTTGGGCCAGAGAGACAGTACAACAGTTAGAGTACTTGCCTTGCATGTGGTTGACCTGGGTTCAATCCCTGGCACCATATACATTTCCCTGAGCCCTGCCAGGGATGATTCCTGAATACAGAACCAGGAATAAGCCCTAAGCACCACTAGGCATGGCTCCAAAACAAAACAAAAAGAAAATCAGGAAGTTGCCACTTTGGAAAAGAAGGTGGGAGATTGTGTTAGGCAATGGATAGGATGCAAGAAGGCAGGACAGGGAACGAGAACAGAATGACAGGAAAAGGAGAATGTGGGTGGAGGGAGAGGAGTTTTTGGTGAAAGAGCAAGGGACCAAGTGACCTTAGGAGGCTGAAGGGCCTCTGGAGAGCTAGTGCTGGGGATAGGGGTAGGAAAGGCTGAAATGAGGCTTGGAAGGCCTCCTGAGGAATACGAGAAAAAATAAAAGCACTTTTACTACTTTTCTATTAAAAATATTATTCATTTCAAATTTAAGTTCTGTAACGTACATTGTCTACCGATAGAGTCTTATTTATAATAATTAAATAAAAAAGGAAAATTTGGGGGTGATTATCCCTCTCATTGTGGGCTGTGGGCAGTCAGAAAGGTGAGGTGAGTGCTGAGGTAAGTGGAAGAATTTCTCTGTCACAGGTGAGGGGTAAAGCAAGAACAGAGCCTCACTTCCCTCATTAGTCCACATGCTTTACTGAATCAGAGAGGTTGGCCTACGAGGGCAGTGGCAAGTGACAATTTTTAGGAGAAGATAAAATTTTGATGCTTACATATATACAGCAATGATGCTTACATATATACAGCAATATTCAACAGACGCAATGAGGGACCCAGGTGGAGGTTAAAATTAGCACAAGAGAGATTCCAAAGAGCAAGATATTTATTCATATAGTTAAAAAATGACTCACAGCAATAATACAGCTAAAATAAGATAACCCAGAATTCTGCTGTGCAGTGTCAATGCATCAAATGCCTTCCCTCACCCCCAAGCAGAACTGAAATGGACGTATAGGTTTGTGAGAAGCTGAAGAAAGTCAACTTGATGTTGGAGTCATCTTGCAGAAGACATCCTGGAAAGGGCATTGTATTAGGCAGGACGAGGGAACAGTGGAAAGGGCTGTTGTGGATGACGACAGAAGACAAACAAACTGAACATTTTTCTTACTGGAAAGTCCTTGCTTCCTCCATTTTCATGTTTTCAAAATATTTGCTATTGAAAAATAAACAATGCTCACGTTTATCAAGAGAATCTGATGTCCCTGAGCTAAGGGGCTTAGAGAGATTTAAGTGTCTTGTCCCAGGGCAATCTGAGAGACTGGCCTCAGAGATGCTACTCAGACCTCTTAACTACTCCTTTCTCTAAGCACATGAAGAAAATTATTTTGTAAAAGGATACTTTTAAAATTTTGCTCAGTATACACCATGGACCTAGTAGTCATGACCATTTTCTTTTTAATAGACACCTGTGTTCTCAGCAAACCAAGAATTCTTCAGGGCAGCATGTACCGACTCAGAACATAGCCCCAGCCTGGATCAAGAGGACTCCCAGAGGAATAGTGTCTCCCCAGATGCAGAGGAGGGCCTGGGTCTCAGTTCAGAGTCTTTCCAAGGGGCCACCAGGGAGGTACAATGTGACCAAGACCTACACAGTCCCTGGGCTGCCTCCCTGATGCATTTTCAGGATCCCCACCCGCATTTATGCAAACGTCAGCAAGAAATGGATGCAATAGCACTGGCTACCTCTTTGGAGAAGGACATGAGGCAAAACTGCTATTCAGTTTGTGATGTCAGGAGACTTGAGAGGTAAGAATCACATTTACAGACACTTTGTGAATTATATGCATCACATTAGTAGAAATTACACTGAAGAGATTCATGACTCTGCTCAGTTACTTACTGTTTTGATGGGCATCAAAGCCCTTTCGGAAAGTACTTATATGTAACTATGTTGTGTGGACACTTGTTAGGGACAGAGGAAGGGGTGCAAACACTAAAGGAGGGTAGGAGGGTAAGATATTGCTCTTAGGTATATGAAAACGAGATGCATGGATCCAAAGCAGGCAAGTAGCTAGGAACAATAATTGGGTCTGATACCACATAAATTCACTGAGATTAAGTGCTTTCATTTGCTGTTCATCCATGAAGACTGATAACAATAGATATATTAGGATTGGAAAGTGGCATAAAGTATGAAGGAGTGGGAAATTCCTTCTTACAGTTGAGTTCAGGACAGTGAATGATACACTAGATCAAGTGATAAAGGAAATAACCTACAGATATTGATCCAAGGACTATTAGTATGATCTTGTGGGAAGAATAAGAGAAATTGAATTTCCCTATAGGTCTAGTATAGCTCTTTTGGTTTTTTAAAGGCTTTACCATTAGATAGTTAGATAGATATAAGATAGAAATCCTAAGAGCTGGGTTCTAATAGATTTTAAAGTGACTCTGGATTTAAGTGTAAGCTTGAGGTTTGAGTACACTTACCGTGTACTTTTATTTATTTATTTGTTTTTATATTTGGGCCACAACCATAGTACTCATTGCTAAGTGCGTGTGTGGTGGGTATTGGATCCACTCCTAACTCCAGCCTGGGGGAGTTAACACAGTTAACTCCAGTTCCTGTATTTGGTAGACCATGAAGTGGTGGGGATCAAACTCAGGGCTCTCAAGGATTATTAGTATGTACTTGTGGGAAGAATAAGAGAAATTGAACAAAGCATATGCTTTAGCCCTTAAGCCACCTCCTTAGGCTTACCATGTGCTTTCAAAAACAAAAAAAAATCTAGGGGCTGGAATGATAGCACGGGTAGGGCGTTTGTCTTGTACGTGGCCAACCAGGGTTCGATACCCAGCATCCTATATGGTCCCCCAAGTACTGCCAGGAGTAATTTCTGAGTGTCAGGAGTAACCCCTGTGCATCACCAGGTGTGACTCAAAAAGAAAAAAAAAGTTTAATTTAGTCATGGTTATGCATCACAGGTCTTTCTGCTAATTATTAACATAGGTAATCTTTATTTTAGTTATGGGCTCATAGAAATCTCAAGATTGTTCAATATGAAAGGATCTGTTACAAGGTTTCACTGCTCAAATCAGTTCTGTGAGATACCAGACAGAGGGGGCCTGCATTGCTTCAATCTCTCTAGGGATGTAGAGCTTGTTACTTCTTGAGGAGGTCATCATCATGTATTGTTGATCAGAAAGTGCCTCCTAGCAGATGAAATCTGTCTGCTGTTATCATCTGCTAAGTTCTGATATTTATTTTCTTTTTGTCATGTTTTTAAAGAAACATCACATTATTTTAATTTTATAAGTAAAATTAAACTTGGCGTGGTATTCCTACTTGCAATGGTATAACAGATGTCCCAAGCCTGCCATCTTTAGAGACGACTTATCTAGAACATCTTAGTCGAGTTCTGTTCTTTGCGGCTGCTGCCCTGTGTTTCTTTTTCTGACCTTTGTGGCTCACAGAGTCACAGTTAGGCATCTTTACTGCTGCTTCTCTGCATAGACTCCCTCCATAGCGACATTCCACCCCCAACCCGCCTTATACTTGCTTTCCTGTGGTCCTGGGGATGACAATGTTTTGCTTTCTCATGTTTCATAGCTTCTTTCTGGAGAGAGGGGCAACACCTGGGTTTATTCCTGGATCTGCACTTGGGTATCACTCCTGGCAGTGCTCAGGGGACTATATGACTTGCAAGGATAGAACCTGGGTCAGCCGTGTGCAAGGAAAGCACCTTATCTGCTGTACTCTCTGTCCACCCACATCATAGCTTCATTTTAATAATATTTTTCCCTCTCCTTCTCAAATACTTCTCATTATCTCTGAGAGAAGGACTCAAACTATGTTTTCTCTTTCACTAGAGCATAGTTTGCCTGTTGTGTACACATGGCAGTGACTATCTCCAAACAGGAAGGAAAACATGGCCCATGTTCAATAATCACAGAATGTATTTCTCCACTTCCACCCATTTGACCCCAGCTCCTGGGTAGACAGAGAATTAGGATTTCAAAATGGAATTGTGACTCTTTTCCCCTTACAGGAATCTGCAGCTCAATTCTGAAGTAGTTATCTCATGCAACTGTCTCTGTTTCTGGCATTTATGAGTCAAGTAATTTTTCTTCAGTTTAAAACCCAAGGAGTATGTTTTTTAATTATACATCCTTGTATTCAACTTTAACATTTACTAAGATGCCTTGAGAGTTGATACGCTTGAGTTTGAGATGTCTCAAGTGTAAATACAGACCATGATGATTCCCTAGGGAACTGTGATAGGCAAAAGAAATAGAATAATCACAATGCTATCTCAGTGCCTTGCACGCAGAAGAAACACAGCATAAGTTTGTTTTCTCTCCCTTTTCTGAGCCAAAGAATAGGTCTCACAATTGAATTTCCCAGAAAATTGCCAGGGTTTACCATATACCAGTTGGCTACTTCCTACAGCTAATGGCTGCCTGCATCTTGGCAAACACAGAGCTCATAGTGATGAACTTCTTTTTATCACACTGTATAAATGCAAACTCTATATTCAGAAGTAGATTTCTTTTATAAAACATGCTGTAATAAAGCAGTACAGCACATATTCATGGACGGATGTTGGATTTGAGTGCCTGATTGAGGGAGGACTTGGGACTTGGCTGTCTGATGCAAGGCAACTTTCTAAACTTACAGCATAAGGCAAAAGTAACATTCAAAAACATTACCCTGAACATCATATTGCCTATGTTTTTCATTTTTGTGGTGCTGGGGATTAAGTCTAGAGTATCATACATGAAAGGCGTCTGTGCTACTGATGAATAGTGGCCCTGACTTCTCTTGAACATCACTTTAGAAACTGTGATATTGTTTGATCCACTGCTGTGAAAGTAGATCATTATTTTCTTTTGTTGAGCATTAGATGAAGTACGGTAGCTTAAATTTAAAATTCATATTCTCCATTTGTGGGTGAGATTATCTTCAAAATTCATACATTTAAATACATAGGAATAAAGGGATGGTAGATTCAAATTCCCAACTATTTCCCTTCAGGGTTGAACCATTGAATTAAAAGTTAGTCACTGTGGAAAGTTGAAGTTTATCCCTTTTCATCCTGCCAAGCACATAAAGTTCAATTTATACAATTAATTTCAAGTATCATTTAGTATATGTAATGATACATGCTTTAAAGGCCATTAAAAATGCAAAATGAACAGTCCTTGGAATGAACCTTCACTTATAATATATCTTCAAGGGCTCACTGCTCCTGAAATAACAAGGAAAATTAGATGGTTAAAAGCTAACATAACTGCAGCTGCCAAGCCAATGCTGACATCAGAGCACCTGGCTGAGGAATGAGGTTGGTCAGATGCATGGACACAGAAAACCCTGGTTTAACCTCTCTGGAGTTGGAGTTTAATTGAAACAGAGTTCTGGCCAGAACAGGACTTTGGACAGGAAGCGGCCTGGAACTCCCTGTCTTCTTTCTGAACATTTGTAGGCTTTCGGGGGACACCACCCCAGCCCATAAGCACATAGCCAAGGACAACTCTCTAACAATTCTTACACATTGACCTCCAGCTCAGGGTTTTTACCTGAGAATCAAACCCAACACTTCCCTGGATGTCTCTGCTTGATGTTTTAGACACATTGAAAATTCAGCCTGCCAAAGGCTAAACTCAGAGCTGACAGAAGCAGAGGCAATTATACCTCTTGGCATGTTTAGGTCTGAAGTGCTATTTACTCTTTTGACTTGTCTTCTTGAAAGGTGGGCATGCATGTGGCAGATCCCTAAGGACAGCTGTGCAGGGAAGACTGGCCTGGTCTTTTCTACTCTAGGGCAAAACCCTGTAGCATGCAGAGGCTACACAATCATTTAAATAATCTCAGGGCTGATTTGGGATTTCTTTCATCAAAAATAACTGCTGAGGAGTTGCAGGATTGGGGGAGGGGTATGTTTCTGTGTCCTGCCAGCTTGTACGGGGGAGGTGGGCTGGGCTGTGAGCCTACGTGGGTCTCCAGATTCTTTTCTAAGTGCCATCTGTCTGGAAAGGCTTCTTTTTTCAGACAGTTTAGTAGGGAGGGAATCAGTGTAAGGAGCAACTGAGGTCATTAACTATTAGAGGTGAGCAGAGAGCTCTGAGCCCCCATCCCATAAGGCTTTGGGTGGGAGTTAGTTTCTCGGGCCCAGATGCCCTGAATTGTCCTGGAGGCATGTCCTTTGGCATGTGTGTCCACCTGCCAAAACATCTGGCCTGGTTCATAGGAAAAGGCACCATACTTGTCAAAGGCTTCAAATCTCCAAGTTTTGCCCCATTCATGAAACCGTCTCTACCGAGAGACTTAGAGGAAAAAGCAACTCTTCTTTTTCTGTTCAGAATCACACTCCAGGTCAGAGATCTAAGGGCAGCTTGTCTTGAGGGATATAAGATAGAGCTTCACCTCTTTTCCCTCATCTCTCATGCTGATGGGTCTCTCTGGGACTCTCTGGGTTGGGTCAGTAACTTGAACCCTTGACCAAAGCTTGACAACAATAATTGATGGGAAAGGTTGGAAGAATATGAAGATGAGAGGTGGGCAGAGCTGTTGGCCCCCTGTCCCTCCTCTGGAAAGAGGGTGGGAGTGGGCTGCTACTAGTTGTTGCTGGAGAGGGGCACTGGGGGCAGAGAGTGGCTGGGGCAACAGACTCAGTTTCTTTTTTGGATAAATCTTCCAAGGGGATCCCTCTTCCCCTTATTTTTATAGGAAAGCTTGGATTTTCTACAAAATCCTTGCTTAAGTGTTTTAAATTCGGAAACTGACTTTCCCGTGAAATCGTTAGCAATTGTAAAACACTCTTTAATGTTTCTCGTTATTCCTTGAAATGAAAAGTCTCTTATTTATGGACACTAGTGTGAGCATATTTGCACAAAATGCATATTCACTTCTACCTCGTGGCTCTCGAGTGCAGAAATAATGCCTCTTTGAGAGGCAAAAATTAGAACAGATCCGTGAACTTTCCTGGGGTAAAGTACCAACTCAAGGGGTGTTTGGAGTCTTGGAGTCATTTCCAGGGAACGAGGCATGGAGGTCTAGGAAGCAGTGTTGGGTAGGAACATGTAACAAAGCCAATCCACTGATTGGGGTGGGAGAAGTTTGATTAAGAAAAACGCATCTTTGATAAAAAAAAAATTCTAAATCTGTGATTTTCCCTTAGATTTTCCTACTCATCCCCTCTAACCAGACTTCCAAGAAATATTCTCTGAGCATCTTCTCTGCATGTTGAAACCTGTCATAGACTGTTTTCTGCGGTAGACTGCTCGTTCTAATCACCACGCAGGAGGCCAACTCAGCTCCGGGAGTTATTCTTTCACCATTGTGTCCGCAGCTTCTCAGTCAGACAATGAGCTTCACCTTTTGTCTGCTTCCTGCATTGCCTGTGGCGTAAATGTCATTCTTACTGGCTGCTTCTCCAAATAGATACCTTTCAATGCCCAGGAAAGGATGGATTTGAAGGTCACCAGTCTGAGTCATCTCAATTTCCTTCTTTGGGCTGTCTAATTCCTCTATTCTACAACAAATCATAACTGCAGTAGAAATAATAAGCACTTCCCTTTTACTACTTATCCTGTACCAGGAGCCAAAGATGATTATTTCAGAGTTATAAAATTTAAGCAGCTGAACAATCTGTTTCTTGACCTTCCCATTTTTTAGATGAGAAAATTGAGGCTCCAGAGAAGTTAATAAACCTGCCTGAGTTTTGATTATCTCTGCTTCTCAGCTGTAGTTGGTGTTAGTACTGCTTTGAATGCTGAGCCTTTGAATGCAAGTCTCTCATGGTCTCCTGGACTTGGGAAATAATATGTGCTGCCTTTATCATAGCATTGACTATCTGCAGTGTGTTCTCTATTTCCTGTTCAATTTTCTAACTAAATCTGGATATCTTGGGGAAGCAGAGAGAGCTCATTGAACTGGAGCACATGCGTTGTATGCAGGAAACCTGGGTTCAGTCTTTGAAAATGCATGGTCCCCTGAACACTACTGAGCATGACTGGATGTGGCCCCAACATCTCCCTGCAAAAACCAAAAGATTAAAATAAACAACCTACAAAAATCGAGCCCAGAATAGCATCTATGCCTTCATAGTCCTTTCTATGCCTTGTAATGCCTTCAAGGCAGCCTATATCTGGAATATCTGAACCCTGGGTGGTTCTCCTGAGCTCTGACTTGGTGAGTATCCTGAAGGGCACAGCAAGGTGAGGAGAGGAATTTATCATCAATACAGAAGACACACAGTTTTCTGTTTTCTAGTCTTGAACTGCACCAGGAAGATGAGGAAGATTACGTGTGTCATCCATCTGAAGCCCCTGTTTCCACTGTGTTGGATGAAATGTACCTTACCATCTACTCTGCATCTGAAGGCCAGCTGCCCTGTGGTGAATGTTTGGAGGCAGATTCGGAGACCATTCCCTTACCACAGTTCTGTTCGTGGGGTGCTCTCTCAGAATCTTTGCCTCGGGAGGAGTTCTATGATAATGAGAGTGAATGGGAAGACCTGGAGGAGGCTCTGGACCCAGATGAGGGTGTTCTCAGGTGAGTGTTGTTCTGCTGGGTGGAGAGACGCTGCTCAGCTCAGCTCTTTTAGGAGGTTCTGCCTAAGGATGATGGTCCTTAGTCTTCCCCATATTCCTCTAGGGTGGTGGGGTTGGTCAGACTATGGTGTTCCATGTTCCTTGACAGCAGCACTTCAGATTGGGGCTATTGTTCTGTTGACTTTACAGATGACACATTTGGTATTTCTCAGAGCTCTACTGCAAGAAATAACCAAAAGCAGAATGGAAACTCAGGTCTCCCCCTCCATTAAGGATGTGCCTTTTCTTCTTTTACCTCCAGCTGGGAGCATCTTCTCATCTCAGGCCTTTCTTCTGGTGGATTGTTTATGTAGTGCTGGTTCTTGTGCTTTCCTGCCAAAGCACAAACTTATTTAAAAGAATTTTGGTGTCCTGAAACATGGTTCTTCTTGTTGAATCCTTTCACCCTCAAGAGAATCAAGCTGTTAATACAGGCACCACCAGAAGTTGGAACTGGCTTATCAGACTGGGTCAGGCCAGACAAAGACACAGGAAGAGTGTCCAAAAATTGTCAAACTGGCATCCAAGTGGGGGGGTAACTCTTAGTGGTTCAATAAAATGCCCAATGATTTATTTAAGTGACTACAACAGAGGTAATTCTAGTATGAAAAAACATGCTGAATGTTCAAGAAACTTTCATCTAACCACATTTTCATGATGCATGGGAACCTACTGAACTGTTGGCTCATAGTGATTTAGGTATAATGGAAACACACTTGTTCACTTTCATTCCACCATGTCCAAGCCACATTTTCATAACAAGCACTTGAAGTGGATTCTGAGAGGCCAGTGTCAGGAAAGCTGATAAGGTGGGTGGCTATTTGCTATTCAAATATGGCAAAAGGAATGGTTCTGGTCCGAAACAGAAAGCAAGTTAACAGAGGAAATGATATGAGGGCTTTGAAGACTGTGAACATTTTGTTGCCCTGCAGTGCTGAGGAATAACTCCGGGCTCTGCACTCTAGGGTCACTGCTGGCGAAACTCAGGGGACCATATGTGGTGCCAGGTTGGCTGTGTGCAAAGCAAGTACCTTATGCACTATAGTATTTCTCAGGTTTCTGTTTGCAAAATTTATGGGGAAGTCAGATCCTTAGGGTTACTTTGGGAATTACGCATTACGAATTCACAAAACTGTGGAGCAAAGAGGGAGTGGCTTATATGTAGGCAGTAATCCTTAGGCCTGGGAAGTTAAAAGAGAATATATGGTCAATAATGCTCTGGGGACTCACTGTCAAGCAATTAAGGCACATAGGTGTCAGATCTCGGAAACATCCCACAAGGTCTGCAGAGCCCTGGAGAGAGGTGATAAAGAGCAGTGCATGGAGGACAGAACTCTGTGACTGGAGAAGCTCAGGCTTGAAGTTTGTCCCCACTCCATTACTTGCGATAGCACAGCGGTAGGGCGTTTGCCTTGCACGCAGCCAACATGGCCGACCCGGGTTTGATTCCTCCGTCCCTCTCGGAGAGCCCGGCAAGCTACGAGAGTATCTCGCCCGCACGGCAGAGCCTGTGACGTACTCAATATGCCAAACACAGTAACAACAAAGTCTCCAATGGAGATGTTACTGGGCCCGCTCGAGCAAATCAATGATCAACGGGAGGACCTTTACTTTACTTTACTTACTTTACCATTACTTGCTGGATGACCAGCAATAAGTGAACTGAAGCCATTTAATTCTCAATTAACCTATAGTCAATAAAAAAAACCCTCATGCTACTATTCCAATGTTAGATGATAGAGCATATTATCAAGTGTTGCACATGCCTAGTATGCAATGACTGCTGTGAGATGATGCAATCCAGTCCTATTGGGTTTTTCCCAAATGGAATCAGCCGTCAGACCTGTCCTAATGTGAGGTATGAGTTGGTAGGAAGAAATATTAGTTTATGGACAGGATGTCAGATCCAGAACAGATTGAACAGTTCTGGATGATGACTGCAATACAATCCATTTGGGTCTTGTCACAGTTGTCAAGAAGGCAGGTGTAAAGGGATGAGTGCTCAAGGCATGAGTCATTAAACCCGGATTCCCTGAAACAGCTTGTGGACAAACATCTACCTCTGCAGTGAGACTGTTGACTTACATATTGCTTTTGGAAAAAACAATTCTTAACAGTCTCTAAATTCCTTACTCTCAAAAAGCTAAGGATCTTTCTTGTATATTTCCTCTCTTTCATGTAGCAAGTGGGAAGTCTGGAGGGTGTGTAGAGGAATTATGAACCGAGTAGTGCCTTTTTTTCGACCTGTGTAACCAATTATTTTAGAGTTTTAAAATAAAGTAGTTTAGTACAACCTTCACATCTTAGTAAGTTATTTTATTTATATTTAAAAACGTAATTTGGGTGATATGGTCATAATATTATTAAAATTTATGGCATTGATGTACAAAGTACTACATACTACCAGCAGCAAGGTGTTGATAACTCCCTACCATTGTCCTTCTGTCACCTCTGGTTGGTAGAAAGTATTCTTATGTCTCAAATATAAACGAGTCTGGGAAAATTTATTTAATTTGCCCAACCTCCTACAGCTCAGAAGGACAGATTCCCATTATATCGGTTTGAATTTATATTGGGGTGAAATATGGTGCTCAAGTGTCTGAGAGGAGTCCTCTCAATGATTCTTGGTTAACTGGACCAGTGGTTCTATTTGAAAATCAAGGATGCAGCTTGGACTACTATAGTGCTGGGAGATACCCACTTATCCACGTTGTGCTCAGAGATACCAAAGCTGCGTCTAGTAAAGTGGGACACCATGTGGTGTAGGGACTAGAAGCAGGGTTGGTGGCATGTGAAGCATGTACCTTGACCTCTGTTTCTCTGGTCTCTTCCTCTGCCATTCCAGTTTAACACATTTGTACATGTTTTCCTATAATGTGTCTTTTCAAATAAACTGATGTAACACAAATATCTTTCCATCTTTTGTCACAAGTCATAGTCATATTATTTCCTTCACAAAATATTTCTCTAATTTGAAATTACATCAACTTCCCACCTCTCTTTCCTATTCTGTTGGATTAAGAAGGCAATTAAACTACTGTTTGGAGAAGTCTCTTGGTCAAATGGGAAAGCCTTCCATTAAAAGATGCTTTCTTTTTCTTTTTGGTTTTAGGTAAACAGAGACAGTGGGACAGTTTTCAGAAGTACAGCCCGAGGATGTCTGCATGAACATCCTCTTGACTGTGATCACAGGAAAGAGTCTTCAGATGTCCTTGGTCTAGAGAATGAACTCAGAGGCCCCACAACCAGGAAAGAAGCTTATAGGTCTCTGACAAGTTGGTCTAGGATAGAGGTCTGTCCCAATTCTTAAGAACTAACATGAAAAGATCATATCTATCATTTCAGAGAGAATTTTGATTAGTTATCATGACCTATCTTAAGTCCTAATGTTTATATTAAATAAACCACGCTCTCTCTTCTTCCTCTTCTCTCTCTCTGTCTCTCTATCCCTCTCTCCCTCTCTGTATACAAGTATCATCCCTGGCACTGCTCAGGGGACAATATGTGGTGTCATGGACTGAATCCCAGTAGGCCACATGTAAGGCAAGTGTTGTACCCACTGCGCTATCTCCTCTCTGGCTCCCTCTCTGCTTTTGGATTCAATAACTTGATTCTAAAGTTATATAAAAGGGAGGCATCTAATAGAAAAAGAAAGAAAGTAGTAGTAGTTCCAACAATTGCTAGATATTAAGACCACAACCTGAATAGTAAGTCAGAAATATCACTTGAGCCCTGCAAGTATGGCCCTGAGACCAGTGTACCCATACTCCAAATCCCTTTGCATGCTCATTGCTTATACAACAAAAATTTACATAAAAATAAAGCTATTGAAATAATATACAAGCAATAAAGACGAAAAATACAAATTTTTTAAAAAACTTGTGCTCTAAAATTTAATTTATGAATTATTATCTGTTTGCTTTTCTTTCTAATTTCTTATTCTGTAGACAATAGAAAAACCTTATAGGTTATTTTTCTTGCACTCCTGTTAACGAAAAATCAGTTTCCAGGCATTTGAATCATTTTGTTTCAAATACTCTCAGAGTAGGTTCAGCTTTCTTAGTGCATGATTAGAGTTTTGTGTGCCTCAAAATTAGTGATGTAATCAGGTATACACTGTCAGGGCC